CCTGCCTATTTTCAGACCACAATGCTTTGAAACTAGAACTCAATCACAAGAGGAAAGTCGGAAAGAACTCAAATACATGGAGGCTAAAGAGCATCCTACTGAAGAATGAATGGGTCAACCAGGAAATTAAAGAAGAATTAAAAAAATACATGGAAACCAATGAAAATGAAAACACAACTATTCAAAATCTTTGGGATGCAACAAAGGCAGTCCTAAGAGGAAAGTATATAGCAATACAAGCCTTTCTCAAGAAACAAGAAAGGTCTCAAGTACACAACCTAACCCTACACCTAAAGGAGCTGGAGAAAGAACAGCAAATCAAGCCTAAACGCAGCAGAAGAAGAGAAATACTAAAGATCAGAGCAGAAATCAATGAAATAGAAACTAAAAGAACAGTAGAACAGATCAACGAAACTAGGAGCTGGTTCTTTGAAAGAATTAACAAGATTGATAAACCCCTGGCCAGACTTATCAAAAAGAAAAGAGAAATGACCCAAATCAACAAAATCATGAATGAAAGAGGAGAGATCACAACCAACACTAAAGAAATACAAACAATTATAAGAACATATTATGAGCAACTCTATGCCAGCAAATTAGATAACCTGAAAGAAATGGATGCATTCCTAGAGATGTATCAACTACCAAAAATGAACCAGGAAGAAATAGAAAACCTGAACAGACCTATAACCACTAAGGAAATTGAAGCAGTCATCAAAAATCTCCCAAAAAACAAAAGCCCAGGGCCAGATGGCTTCCCAGGGGAATTCGACCAAACATTTCAAGAAGAATTAATACCTATTCTTCTGAAACTGTTCCAAAAAATAGAAATGGAAGGAAAACTTCCAAACTCATTTTATGAGGCCAGCATTACCTTGATCCCAAAACCAGACAAAGACCCCATCAAAAAGGAGAATTACAGACCAATATCCCTGATGAACATGGATGCAAAAATTCTCACCAAAATACTAGCCAGTAGGATCCAACAGTACATTAAAAGGATTCTTCACCACGACCAAGTGGGATTTATCCCTGGGCTGCAAGGTTGGTTCAACATCCACAAATCAATCAGTGTGATACAATACATTAACAAAAGAAAGAACAAGAATCATATGATCCTCTCAATAGATGCAGAAAAAGCTTTTGACAAAGTACAGCATCCTTTCTTGATCAAAACTCTTCAGAGTATAGGCATAGAGGGTACATACCTCAATATCATAAAAGCCATCTATGAAACACCTACAGCGAATATCATTCTCAATGGGGAAAAACTGAGAGCTTTCCCCCTAAGGTCAGGAACGCGGCAGGGATGTCCACTATCACCACTGCTATTCAACATAGTATTGGAAGTCCTAGCCACAGCAATCAGACAACAAAAAGAAATCAAAGGCATCCAAATCGGCAAAGAAGAAGTCAAACTCTCACTCTTTGCAGATGATATGATACTTTATGTGGAAAACCCCAAAGACTCCACCCCAAAACTGCTAGAACTCATACAGGAATTCAGTAAAGTGGCAGGATATAAAATCAATGCACAGAAGTCAGTGGCATTCCTATACACCAACAACAAGACAGAAGAAAGAGAAATTAAGGAGTCGATCCCATTTACAATTGCACCCAAAACCATAAGACACCTAGGAATAAATCTAACCAAAGAGACAAAGGATCTGTACTCAGAAAACACTAAAATACTCATGAAAGAAATTGAGGAAGACACAAAGAAATGGAAAAACATTCGATGCTCATGGATTGGAAGAACAAATATTGTGAAGATGTCAATGCTACCTAGAGCAATCTACACATTCAATGCAATCCCCATCAAAATACCATCCACTTTTTTCAAAGAAATGGAACAAATAATCCTAAAATTTGTATGGAACCAGAAAAGACCCCAAATAGCCAGAGGAATGTTGAAAAAGAAATGCAAAGCTGGCGGCATCACAATGCCGGACTTCCAGCTCTATTACAAAGCTGTCATCATCAAGACAGTATGGTACTGGGCGCCTGGGTGGCTCAGTTGGTTAAGCGACTGCCTTCAGCTCAGGTCATGATCCTGGAGTCCCGGGATCGAGTCCCGCATCGGGCTCCCTGCTCGGCAGGGAGTCTGCTTCTCCCTCTGACCCTCCTCCCTCTCATGCTCTCTGTATCTCATTCTCTCTGTCTCAAATAAATAAATAAAATCTTTAAAAAAAAAAAAAAAGACAGTACGGTACTGGCACAAAAACAGACACATAGATCAACGGAACAGAATAGAGAGCCCAGAAATGGACCCTCAACTCTATGGTCAACTCATCTCTGACAAAGCAGGAAAGAATGTCCAAAGGAACAAAGACAGTCTCTTCAACAAATGGTGTTGGGAAAATTGGATAGCCACATGCAGAAGAATGAAACTGGACCATTTCCTTACACCACACACAAAAATAGACTCAAAATGGTTGAAAGACCTCAATGTGAGACAGGAGTCCATCAAAATCCTAAAGGAGAACACAGGCAGCAACCTCTTTGACCTCAGCCGAAGCAACTTCTTCCTAGAAACATCGCCAAAGGCAAGGGAAGCAAGGGCAAAAATGAACTATTGGGACTTCATCAAGATAAAAAGCTTTTGCAAAGCAAAGGAAACAGTCAACAAAACCAAAAGACAACTGACAGAATGGGAGAAGATATTTGCAAATGACATATCAGATAAAGGGCTAGTATCCAAAATCTATAAAGAAGTCATCAAACTCAACACCCAAAGAACAAAGAATCCAATCAAGAAATGGGCAGAAGACATGAACAGACATTTTTCCAAAGAAGACATCCAAATGGCCAACAGACACATGAAAAAGTGCTTAATATCGCTCGGCATCAGGGAAGTCCAAATCAAAACCTCAATGAGATACCACCTCACACCAGTCAGAATGGCTAAAATTAACAAGTCAGGAAGCGACAGATGTTGGCGGGGATGCGGAGAAAGGGGAACCCTCCTACACTGTTGGTGGGAATGCAAGCTGGTGCAGCCACTCTGGAAAACAGTATGGAGGTTCCTCAAAAAGTTGAAAATAGAGCTACCCTATGATCCAGCAATTGTACTACTGGGTATTTACCCCAAAGATACAAAAGTAGGATCCGAAAGGGTACGTGCACCCCGATGTTTATAGCAGCAATGTCCACAATAGCCAAACTGTGGAAAGAGCCAAGATGTCCATCGACAGATGAATGGATAAAGAAGAGGTGGTATATATATACAATGGAATATTATGCAGCCATCAAAAGGAATGAGATCTTGCCATTTGCAACGACGTGGATGGAACTGGAGGGTATTATGTTGAGCGAAATAAGTCAAACAGAGAAAGACATGTATCATATGACCTCACTGATATGAGGAATTCTTAATCGCAGGAAACAAACTGAGGATTGCTGGAGTGGGGGGTGGGGTGGGAGGGATGGGGTGACTGGGTGATAGACACTGGGGAGGGTATGTGCTCTGGTAAGCGCTGTGAATTGTGCAAGACTGTTGAATCTCAGATCTGTACCTCTGAAACAAATAATGAAATATATGTTAAGAAAAAAAAAAAGAAGAAGAAGAAGGTAGCAGGAGGGGAAGAATGAAAGGGGGGGAATCGGAGGGGTAGACAAACCATGAGAGACGATGGACCCTGAAAAACAAACTGAGGGTTCTAGAGGGGAGGGGGGTGGGAGGATGGGTTAGCCTGGTGATGGGTATTGAGGAGGGCACATTCTGCATGGAGCACTGGGTATTATGCACAAACAATGAATCATGGAACACTACATCTAAAACTAATGATGCAATGTATGGGGATTAACATAAGAATAAAAAAAAAAAAAGCCCCCCCCCCGCCTGCCCCCCCCCCACACACCGGTTACAGGCTGTTTTCCTGCCAGCTTCCTGCCTGGCTTGAGGATCATCGGGGAGGTCTGACCCTGACTCCTTGCCTGGATGGCACAGCAGGGGAGAAACGCTGAAGCAGGAAGGCCTTGGGTAGGATTAGGGACCATCAAGCAGATTAAATGTTGCTACCCTTTATTTCCCTTTTCCTTACATGGCTCATGGCCCTGCTTACTCTTACCTCCTTGCCTCATCCAGTCTTAAAGACTGACAGATTAATATACTATATGAAAAACTTATTGAAAAGGCATTACTTGGGGAGAAAGTGATTGCAGCCCCTCTCAGCGCTACTCACTCCAGTTTGCAGCTCCCTAGACACACATCCCTACAATCTGCGTCTCCTTTGGGCCACACCTCTGCCTCAGTCATCCTTCTGTGGTCCGCCGCCACCCTCCTTACGGCTCCCACCCCTCCAGACGCCACTGCCTACTCAGGAGGATCAGATCTCTAACAGTGACATGGTTCTTAACTTTGGGGCTGAGAAACTGGACTAAGTCTATGGACTTCTGGCACACACACACACCCCCCCCTAGGAAACGCACAGTATAAACATACATGCAAAATGCTATATACCATTTCAGGGGATTAATGGGATTAAGGCATGACATCCTTTATAGAGACGCATATCAATCTAGAACTGAAATCTAGGACTGACTTAAGTCTACCATAGTCCTAGAACTTTCTATGGAAGAATTTTAAATCGGTTTTCCTGCTGAGTGTCTAAAGGTTTCCAATTTCCCAATAATTCTTGTGGTCAGAGGTATATGCTTATCACAGTTCTCAATAGAGTCTGCTGAATGAATTTATTTAAAAAATAGGTCAAATTTTTACCGAGCTATTGTTAAATTAAGGAAGGCAATGAATACTAATTTTAAAATGAGGTTTAAAGAAGAGAATGAGACGTTTTTTATAAAGTTAAGGTAAAAAACAAGAGTTTTCCAGAGATGATACTGGGAAGAAAAAAAAAAAATCTGAAAAATGCATTATGTAGGAGCTCCTGGCCCTCCTGGAGCTAAAAGTTATGTTAAATCCATATCATTTTTACATTATGTTAAATTTCCTAGCTTTTTTCTCTGGTTTTGAATTTCCTACTTGTGTTTCAGATACATACCCAGGAAGAGAATATATTTGCTTCAAATAGAGGTTTGGAATGAATATTTTCATCTTTTTCAATTATTCTAATGAGTTTTTCCTCCTCCTTGGATGTTGAAGGCTTCTAGGGCACAGAAACACAAAGGACCTGTTAGCGGAGCTGGTGTGTGACCCAGAGGCATGGCAAGTTCCCCGGAGCAATGTCTGAAGCTTTAATCTTCAATTTGCATTAGTCATTCAACAAGCATTTTCGAAGACTTACAGCAAACAATGTGTGAGAAATCAGTGGGGATGGGGAAGTGGAGACCAGGGTAAACAACAGTGAGAGAAACAAGAAGGATATCTTCCAGACCCAGGAATTCACAGCACAGTAGGAGAGATGGACCAGAAAATAATTATGGTATGCATGATTGATGTTGGCAAAGGGGTGTGTTCCAAAAGCTCTGTGCACCCAGAAAAGGGCCCTGAATTCTGCCTCGACATCCAGGGAAGTTTTTACATAGAAAGTGATATCTGAAGACCGAACAAGACTTTGTAACATAGAGAGGAAAGGGCCAGAACTAAGGCCACAAGAGGAGGAAAAGAGGGAATGCATTACACATTTAAAAGGTACGATGGAATTTAGTGTCCAAATAACACTGTTTCCCATTTATTTTGTGTCTTCTATATGCCAAGCACTGTACCGAAATAAAACAGAAAATGCTGGCGAAAAGCAGCTTAGCTGTCGTACATTTTTCTTCTGCTGTCTAGTATGTACAGTGGGTCTAGAGGACCTAGGTCACAGCCTGGGATCATGCCAACATTTAAACTATTCACAGAGAAGAAACATCAGGGAAGGAAGTTAAGACAGTCTAGAGAGTGTTAGGTGATCTTGAGTTCCGAGAGCCAAGGACAGTAGTAGTCAATCCAGGAATCAGCAAGGGTTCTTATGCCAGACTAATCTAGGTTTGAACACTGGTTCTGCCACTCACAGCTTTCTGACTTAGGGTAAGTCAAGTCGACCTTTCTGAGCTTCAGTTTTCTTATCTGTAAAATGGGGCAATAATTTTTACCTTGAAGTTGTGTGGTATAGATGAGAGGTAACACATGCAGAACATGTAGCTCACAGTAGGGACTCAGTTACTGGTAGTTATCATTGTATTTTTAGGATTGTTATTATTATTATTATAAGTACCCCAGGAAGGGTTTTATTACTACGAATGCCCCGCAGGCATACAGACAAGGTAAGGAGAAAGGAGATGTGGAGATGGGTCTGGGAGAAGGGGAAAGGTAGCCCAGAATGGGAACTAAAGAAGTGGACACAGGGGCGCCTGGGTGGCTCAGACAGTTGAGCATCTGACTCTTGATCTCAGCTCAGGTCTTCATCTCAGAGTCATGAGTTCAAGGCCCATGTTGGAGCCTACTTAAAAAAAAGAAAAAGAAAAAGTAAACACAGAGTTTAAATTACTATTTGAAAAATCTGGTAATGAAAGGACAAAGAAACAGCATCAGGATGAGAGGTAGATTGTGTAGGTAATAGGAGTACAGGGGTGAATGAGGCTGATGGGAAGTGACTAGATTTTGAAAAGGAAAAGGACACCCCTACCTTGGAAAATAAAGAGACAATGGTGTCTCAGGTATGGTTAAATCTATATGAAGAAAGGAAGGGAGCTAGGGTGTTTATTCCAGATGACCTATTTCTATTTTCAATAGTACCTATATATATTCATTCATTCATTCATTCATTCATTCATTTATTTATTTAGAGAATGTGAGTGAGGGGAGGGGCAGAGGGAGAAGGAGAGAGAGAGAGAATCTCAAGCAGATTGCACTGAGCATGGAGCCCAACATGGGTCTTGATCTCATGACCCTGAGATCTTGACCTGAGCTGAAATCAAGAGTCAGATGCTTAACTAACTGAGCCATCCAGGCACCTCAGTACCTATATATATATTCCTTAAAAATGTAAAGGGAAAGGAAAATATAATACTAAATCATCTTACCTCCTCTTCTTCCCTTTGCATCTTAAAATTATCCTCCATACTTTCTTCTTCCTCCTCTCTAGAAGGCCTGTCTATGTCAGGTTCAATTAATTCTTTTATAAAATCCTATGAGATAAAACAATAGTACAAATAGTATATAGTTTAGTGTATATTAATAATTTTTAGTATATACTAATCATTCATTCAAAAATTTAATGAGCATTAATCTTGCACCTGGACACTGTGCTAGGGATAATGACAAAAAGGGTAATAAGAATAGCCTCTGTCCTGTATCATATGACCTCACTGATACGAGGAATTCTTTTTTTTTTTTTTAAAGATTTTATTTATTTGAGAGAGAGAATGAGCTAGAGAGAGCGAGCACATGAGAGGGGGGAGGGTCAGAGGGAGAAGCAGACTCCCTGCCGAGCAGGGAGCCCGATGCGGGACTCGATCCCGGGACTTCAGGATCATGACCTGAGTCGAAGGCAGTCGCTTAACCAACTGAGCCACCCAGGCGCCCCGAGGAATTCTTAATCTCAGGAAACAAACTGAGGGTTGCTGGAGTGGTGGGGGGTGGGAGGGATGGGGTGGCTGGGAGATAGACATTGGGGAGGGTATGTGCTATGGTGAGCGCTGTGAATTGTGCAAGACTGTTGAATCACAGATATGTACCTCTGAAGCAAATAATACATTATATGTTAAAAAAAAAAAAAAAAGAAGAAGGTAGCAGGAGGGGAAGAATGAAGGGGGGTGGAAATTGGAGGGGGAGACGAACCATGAGAGACGATGGACTCTGAAAAACAAACTGAGGGTTCCAGAGGGGAGGAGGGTGGGAGGATGGGTTAGCCTGGTGATGGATATTAAAGAGGGCATGTTCTGCATGGAGCACTGGGTGTTATGCACAAACAATGAATCATGGAACACTACATCAAAAACTAATGATGTAATGTATGGTGATTAACATAACATAATAATAAGAAAAAAAAAAAAGAATAGCCCCTGTCCTCCTATGACCCAGCAATTGCACTACGGGAATTTACCCCAAAGATAACGATCTAAATTATCTAGTGGTAATTTAGTGATCTAAAGGGGCACCTGCACCCCAGTGTTTATAGCAGCAATGTCCACAATAGCCAAACTATGGAAAGAACCCAGACGTCCATTGACAGATGAATGGATAAAGAATATATGAGATAGATAGATAGATAGATAGATAGATAGATAGATAGATAGATAGATGATAGTGGAATATTACACAGCCATCAAAAATGAAATCTTGCCATTTGCAATGACATGGATGGAACTAGAGGGTATTATGCTAAGGGAAATAAGTCAATCAGAGAAAGACAATTATCATATGATCTCACTGATATGTGAAATTTAAGAAACAAAGCAGAGGATCACAGGGAAGAGAGGAAAAAAATGAAACAAGAGGAAACCAGAGAGGGAGAAAAACCATAAGAGACTCTTAATCATAGGAAACAAACTGAGGTTTGCTGGAGGGGAGGGGAGTAGGGGAATGGGGTAACTGGGTGATGGACATTGGGGAGGGTATGTGTTGTAATGAGCATTGGGTATTATATAAACTGATGAATCACAGACCTGTACCCCTGAAACAAATAATACATTGTAAGTTAATTAATTGAATTTAAATTTTAAAAAAAGAATAGCCCCTGTCTTAAGAAGCTTAACAATTTAGTGGACAAGAAAATGCTATGGATACATATAGTCACATGGTAGGAGCACCTAATCTATGGTAGTGGATGTGGTAGTGGATGTGGTAGTGGAAAGAGAGGATTGGTCAGGAAGGTTTCCTGGAGGACATAATGTCTCAGTTTCTTCTTGAAGGATGAGTAAGGGAAAAAAGCATGATTCTAGGCAAAGGATGATGCATGGGCATGACTGGCTCTTGAGAACAAAAGTAGTTAGTAGGACAGAAACTTAGGGGCAGATGGACAGGAGCACAGTCATAGAGGAAGGGCTAGAGTGTCATTCCAGGGAAACTGGATTTTATCCTGAAGGCAATGAAGTACTAATAAATTGATCTGTTTTGCATTTTAAACAATCACTCTAGCAGCAGGAGAGTAGATTTAAAGAGAAAGAAGGGAGAGAGGGAGGAAGAGTGGGAAGAAGAAAAGACAAGAGTAGAGAATGAACATAGGGTTGCAGGAATGAAGAGGAGGAGAAGGATTCAAGAGATATTTAGGAGTTAACTCAGTGCTGGAGTGATTAGATTGATATGGGATGCCTAGGGAAAGGAAGCATCTTGAATGATACCTGGTGAATGGTTTAGGCCACTACATAGATGATAATGCCATTCACAGAGAAAATGAACAAAGTTGCATAAGCAGCTTTGGGAAAATAGATAAGTTCAGACTAGGCTATGTGACTTTAAGGTACCACTAATATATCTAAGTAGAAATATTCAGTAAGTAGCTAAATACACAGATACAGAGTTTAGATGGAGGCATTTGGGCTAAAGATAATCATTTAACAGTTATTTGCATTTAGTCGAAGCCAAGAAAGTAAATTATATTACCAAAGGAGAAGTTGTGAAGTTGCTGGAGGATGAGGGCTTAGGACAGGAACTTAGTCACATACAAGACTAGGGAAGAAAGACAAGTCTGCACAGAAGGCCAGAAGTTGTGTCAGAAGTCTGACAAAGCCACCAGGAAAGTCAAAAGAAGAGAAAGAAGGATTCAACAGTGTTGAATACCTCAAACGAGTCTACACAACTACTGACTGAAAAATGTCCTTCAGTTTATGGCAATGACGTGTATAAAACAAGCTAATAATAAGTTCAATATCTACAATAGGAAAATGCATAAATTATGGTATAAACTAAGTCAGATGGTCCCTGACTTATGATGGTTTGACTTAAAATTTTTTCAACTTTACAATGGTACAAAAATGATCCACATTCAGTAGAAACTGTCATTTGAATTTTGAATTTTAATCTTTTCCCAGGCTAACAATACGTGGTTCAACTCTCTTTCATGATTCTGGGCAGTGGCAGTGACCCACAACTTCTAGTCAGCCTCATGATCACAAGAGTAACCAACTGATACACTTAACAACCATTCTGTTTTTCACTTTCAATACAGTATTCAATAAATTACACGAGCATGGACTCTTGGTTTCCGCTTAGGTCATGACCTCAGGGGTCTTGGGGTCGGGCTCCACACTCAGCAGTGAGTCTGTTTGAAAGATTCTCTCCCTCTGCCTCTCTCCCCTCAAATAAATAAATTTTTAAAATGAACAAAAAAATAAATTACATGAGATATTCAACTTTTTCTTATAAAATGGTCTTTGTGTTAGATGATTTTACCCAACTGTAGGCTAATGTAAGTGTTCAAAGCACGTTGAAGATAGGCCAGGCTAAGCTATGATGTGGGGTAAGTTAAATGTATTAAATACATTTTCGACTTACAATATTTTCAACTTACAATGGGTTTATTGGGACATAACCCCAACATAAGTCAAGGAAGATCCGTATTTTGCTACTATAAATAATGCTGTATTTAGCATTCTTTTTTATTTATCTATTTATTTAATTCCAGTATAATTAACATACAGTGTTATATTACAATATAGTGATTCAGCAATCCTATACATTACTCAGTGCTCATCGTGATAAGTGTACTCTTAATCCCCTTCACCTATTTCACCCATTCCCCACCGACCCACCTCCCCTCTGACAACTATCAGTTTGTTCTCTATAATTAACAATGTTTTTTAATCTCTTTTTCCTTTGTTCATTTGTTTCTTAAATTTCACGTAAGAGTGAAATCATGTGGTATTTGTCCTTCTCTGACTGGCTTATTTCACTGAGCATTATACTCTCTAGATTTATCCATGTTGTTGCAAATGGCAAGATTTCATTCTTTTTTATGGCTGAGTAATATTCCTCTGTGTGTGTGTGTGTGTGTGTGTGTACATCATCTTTATCCATTCATCTATCGATGGACACTTGGGCTGCTTCCATAGTTTGGCTATTATAAATAATGCTGCAATAAACATAGGGGTTCATATAACTTTTCGAGTTAGTGTTTTCATATTCTTTGGTTAAATACCCAGTAGTAGGAATACTGGATCACATAGTAGTCTTGTTTTTAAGGAACCTTAAGTCTTGCTTTTTGAGGAACCTCCATACTGTTTTCCACAGTGGCTGCACCAGTTTGCCTTCCTACTAGCAGGGCACAAGAGTTCCTTTTTCTCCACATCCTTGCCAACACTTCTTGTTCCTTGTGTTTTTTATTTTAGCCGTTCTGACAAGTGTGAAGTGATATCCCATTGTGGTTTTGATTTGCATTTCCCTGATGATGAGTCAAGTTGAGCATCTTTTCATGTGTCTGTTGGACATCTGGATGTCTTCTTTGGAGAAATGTCTGTTTATGTCTTCTGCCCATTTTCTAATTGGATTATTTGGTTTTTTGGCATTGAATTATAGTTCTTTATATATTTAGGACACTAACCCTTTATCAGATATGTCATTTGCAAATATCTTCTCCCATTCAGTACTTCTCATTTAGTTTTGTTGATTGTTCCCTTTGCTGTGCAGAAGCTTTTTATTTTGATGTAGTCCCAACAGTTTATTTTTGCTTTTGTTTCCCTTGCCTTAGGAGACATATCTATGAAAATGTTACTACAGTGGATGTTGGAGAAATTACTGCATGTGCTCTCTGCTAGGAGTTTTATGGTTTCAGGTCTCACATTTAGGTCTTTAATCCATTTTGAATTTATTTTTGTGTATGGTGTAAGAAAGTGGTCCAGTCTCATTCTTTTGCATGTAGCTGTCCAGTTTTATAATTAACATTCTTTTTTTTTAAGATTTTATTTATTTATTTAATTATTTGACAGAAAGAGAACATGAGCAGGGGGGAGGGGCAGAGGCAGAGGAAGAAGCAGGCTCCCCACAAGCAGGGGGAGCCCGATGTGGGACTCGATCCCAGGACCCTGGGATCATAATCTGAACCAAAGGCAAGTCACTTAACCAACTGAGCCACCCAGGCGCCCTATAATTAACATTCTTATACAGATATATATTAGAATTATCAAAATATAACTACAAAGTTATATTTAACCTGTTTAAAGAAGAGATTAAAAATATGAATAAAGAGAGAAAGATTACAAGAATGATCAGATTTGAAAAAGAACCAAACAGAACTTTAACAATTAAATTTAAAAACTGAACAGAAAGGTTTAATAGAAGATTAGTGAACAGGAAGGTAAACCAGAAGAAATTATTCAGGATGCAATGCAGAAGCAAAGAAAAATATGAAGTAAGGTTAAAAGACATGGGGATAGATTTCAATATATATCCATTCAGAGTTCCAGAAAGAAAGGAGAGAGCAAACATAGTAAAGACAATATTTGAAGAGGTAACAGAATTTTCCATATCTAATGAAAGATACCAAGTCAAAGATTTAGGAAACCAAAAGAATCCCCAGCAAAATTTTAAAAGAAAAGGAATTCCACACCCTCATATATCAGAGTGAAACTGCAAAATGCCAAAGACATAAAGATCTTTTTTCTTACTTTTTTATTGTTATGTTAATCACCATACATTACATCATTAGTTTTTGATGTAGTATTTCATGATTCATTGTCTGTGCATAACACCCAGTGCTCCATGCAGAACGTGCCCTCTTTAATATCCATCACCAGGCTAACCCATCCTCCCACCCCTCTCCCCTCTAGAACCCTCAGTTTGTTTTTCAGAGTCCATCGTCTCTTATGGTTCATCTCCCCCTCCGATATCCCCCCCTTCATTCTTCCCTTCCTACTATCGTCTTCTTTTTTTTTTTTTCTTAACATATATTGCATTATTTGTTTCAGAGGTACAGATCTGTGATTCAACAGAAAGACATAAAGATCTTAAAAGTAGCCAAGGAGAAGAGAGGGATCAACTTCAAAGAACTGACAGCTGAATTCTCAACTGTCAGTTTGGTAACAATAAAATCCAGAAAACTGTAGAAATAGTATCATCAATCGGCGGGGAGGAAATAGTATCATCCTAGAATTGTATACCCCACAAAAATTGTTAAGAGTGAGGGTGAAATAAAGACATTTTCAGACAAAAAAAAAAATAAGTTTGCCTCCAGTAAATCCTCACTAAAGAAAAATTTAAAGCTTAAGGCAGAAGAAAAGTGACCTTGGGTAGATCTGAGATATCTGAAGGAACAATAAAGAAATTAAACAAAAAATCAACTCCAATCACTAAAGGCATTCCTGCTAAAGTCATAAATAAGAAGAGGATGCTTGATATTGCCACTACTATTTAACACCAAATTGGGAGAATTAGTCATTGCAGTTAGACAAGAAAAAGAAATTAGAGGCATAATAATTGAAAGAAAGAGGTAAAATTATCTATCTGTAGATGATTTGATTAAATATCTGGAGACCCCAAAAGAATCTATTGAAAAATGACTAAAAGCAATAAGATAATTTAGTAAAGTCACAGAATATGAAATAAAAATACATAAATCAATAACATATACACAGTTACCAGTTAGAAGATACAATGGTAAAGAAGATCCTATTTAAAATAGCAAAAAATAGGGGTGCCTGGCTTGGTCTCGGGGTTGTGAGTTTGAGCCCCATGTTGATTATAGAGACTACTTAAATAAATAAAACCTTTTAAAAATAAAATAGCAAAAAATAAAATGAAATACTCAGGCATAAACCTTACAAGAAATGTGCAAAATGAGTAAACCATAAAACATTATTTAAAGGCATTTAAAGTAGATATCCTATATTTTTGGATAGGACAACTTGACAACATAATTATCTCTGCTCTAAGTTAATATATAAATTTAGTATTACCCCAGTCTTTAAAACTCATATTTTCCCAGAGGTAGATTACAGTTACATAGAAGAATAAATAAGCAAGCATAGGGATGAAACCCCTGAAGAAGATCAGTGAGGAGGGCTGGCCCAGCCAGATATGAAAATGCACAATGGCGCCTCAAAAACTAAAATATTGTGGTGATGACCCATGAAGAGATAGATTAATAGAAAATAACAGAAATTTCAGAAACAGACTTAGGTTGAATATAGCTATTTTCAAATGCTGGAAAACACTAAAACATGGAATGTTGTAAAAACTATAATGTGGAAGACAAATCAGCCTTGTTCATATCAACCCGAAAGTCTAAACAAGGACCAGTGAGTAGAAAAAGTTACAAGGAAACATATTTCATCTAGTTCAATAGAAAAAATAACATTATAATAGTCAGTGGTCACCAAAACAAATGGGCTAATTCTGAAAGTAGGTCTCTGCCACTTCAGACACTCAAACATAGGCATAATGATCAAGGGTGGGTATTATACATCTGATTCACGCATCAGATGTTTTGCTGAATTCAATCTCCCTTAAAATCCTTTCTGTTCTTGGGGCGCCTAAGTGGCTCAGTGGTTAAGCGTCTGCCTTCGGCTCGGGTCATGATCCCAGCGTCCTGGGATCAAGCCCCACATTGGGCTCCCTGCTCCATGGGAAGCCTGCTTCTCCCTCTCCCTCTCCCCCTGCTTGTGTTCCCTCTCACACGGTCTCATTCTCTGTCAAATAAATAAATAAAATCTTTACAAAAAAAAATCCTTTCTGTTCTTAAGTTTCTATGATTCTGTATAGTTCTCTAATTTAATTTTTTCATAGATCTGTTGTGTAGCCAAGATCATGTCTGTGGTACTTAATTTTCTAAAACTATACTGGTAATTTTTTTTTTCTTTTTTGAGAGAGAGAGCTCATGGGGTGGGAGGCAGAGGGAGAGAGAGAATCTTAAGCAAGCTCCATGCCCAGGATGGAGCCCGATGTGGGGCTCCATCTCACAACCCTGAAATCATGACCTGAGCCAAAACCAAGAGTCAGACACTTAACCGACAGAGCCACCCAGGTGCCCCATGTAATTTAAGACTTCTAATGTTGATGAAATCATTCAGTGATTAATTCAAAATAATTCTGGCCAAGATCTGGGCAGCAAAGAAAAATAAGCATTTGTAAAAGATGTATAATTTAGAAAGGTGGTGTTTCTTCAGTGTTTAAATGTAAGATAAAAGTCCCACATGTGTGTAGGTAGAAGCACGCCCGCCCCACCACTCCGGCAGACCCTAGAGCACTGACAGAGACGCCATCACATCTCTCCTCCACAGTTCACAGCTCTGAAAGCTATGTGGGCTTCTTCAGTCTTTACTGGAAACCAACTCCTTCAAACAGACTGAAGTAAAACTAAACATTTGTGATTGCCATGAAGCACAGGATATTCATTAATTTGGGATCCTCGGTAAACAGTGGTAGTTAATACCACTGGATTAGCACAGTCATGTGTGGGGTGTAGAATAAAAAGTAAAAGCAAGTCAAGGACAGAATATCAACATTTAAGAGACAGGCAGTGGAGGAAGACCAAAAGGAGAGTGAAAAGAAATAAAAAAGTAGGAGAAAAAATTTTTGTCTTGTGAGGAGAGATTACAAAAGGAGTGAACGACTAGTCAACAGGGTCAAATGCTACAGAGAAGTCAAGTTAAATACGGCATTGGGGTTCCTTGGATCTGACAATAAGGAATCATTACAGTACCTCTCAATAGTTTCAGCATTTTAAGAGAAATGATTGTGATAGGAAGGAGAGAATGAAGTAGTAGAGAAAAAGACATGCTCAAGGGATCTTTTAGAATGAAAGCAATGGCCATGCTTATAGATTGTTTATATATCGACACAGTGGAACTACTAGAGAGGAAGACATTGAAGATACAAAAGAGAGAGGACAGTGGGCTGGGATTAGGTGCTCAAAGGAAGAAATAACCTTAAACAGGAAGACTGAGCTTGGAGGGGAGGAGGAAGTGTACGCAGAAGCAGACCAGTCTAAGGACATGCCTCAGGAAGTGGCAGGCAGCTCCCCCTCCGAAAGCCATCCTTTCCTTTATGAAGGATGAAACAAAATCATCCTCTAAGAAAGTGAGACGAGATGGTTAGATGGATGATTCTTTCCCTCAGAAGGGAGAAGAGCTGGGGCGCCTGGGTGGCTCAGTCGGTTAAGCGTCGGCCTTCGGCTCAGGTCATGATCTCAGGGTCCTGGGAACGAGCCCCGCATCTGGGCTCCCTGCTCTGCGGGAAGCCTGCTTCTCCCTCTCCCACTTCCCCTGCTTGTGTTCCCTCTCTCGCTGTCCTCCTCTGTCAAATAAATAAAATCTTAAAAAAAAAAAAAAAAAGAGAGAAGAGCTGCCAATGCTCTAGGTCAGGGGCAAAATTCTCTTCAGGTAGGGTAAATAAATGAGGACTCAGAATATGAATTGGAAAAAGTCACTGAATCCTTACCTATTGAAAAAAAGGGGGGGGGGCGGTGAAATACAGGAAGAACCAGAATAATGATCAGGGTCAACACACAGCAAATACCTCTTCTCCAAATAGGTGTTCTTTTTCTTCCTTTGTCAGTAACTTTATTTTTCTGCCTCTGATCCCAGAAAGGAGGTGAGAACATGTGGTGATCCATTCATAACATTCTCTCTGAGGAAAGAGAAAAGATAATTATTAAGCAGAAAAAACAGATTATACCAACTCATTTATTCACTCACTTCTATTGAGGAGCTACTAAGTGCAACTCTTCTAAATACAACTCCATTCAATTAACTTGTTATCACTTCAGTTCAAAGATTTGTGCAGAAATAATTTATGAATACAGATCTAAAATCATATCATCTCTTATCAATAGAGTTTGAGATCTGGGTCGTATTGGGACAAGGAGCAGTGAAGTGCCATAAAACAAGATGAAGAAAGATTGCTGGATTTATTATGGGCAAACGGTCTGTCCCAACAAATGGTTCACAACTGACCAGGTCAACTGGGATTGCATAACAAGAACAATAAAAATAGCCCACATTTACATGGCATTAATTATATGCCAGATTCTGTTCTAAGCATGTGCAATATTAACTCATTTGATCTTCAGTATGGAAATAGGTGCTATTATGGGGCGCCTGAGTGGCTCAGTCGGTTAAGCATCTGCCTTTGACTAGGGTCATGATCCCAGGGTCCTGGGATCAAGCACCACATCAGGCTCCCTGCTCAGCGGGGAGCCTGCTTCTCCCTCTCCCTCAGCCTCCACTTCCCCTGCTTGTGCTCTCTGTCAAATGAATAAATGAAATCTTTTAAAAAAATGAAATATATGCTATTATTTTTGAGGTATAGCTGAAATAACATTATATTGAGAACTGATGGTTACCAGAGGGGAGGTGGGTGGGGGGGATGGGTGAAATACAGGATGGGGATGAAGGAGAGCACTTGTGATGAGCACAGGGTGTTGTATGGAATTGTTGAATCACTATATTGTACACCCAAAACTAATATAACACTGTATGTTAACTGGAATTGAATTAAAAATTTAATTTTTAAAAAAATGTATTAACCCCAAAACACACACACAAAAAAAGAAATAACATTAGTTTCAGGTGAACAACATAATGATTTAATATTTGTGTATATTGCAACATGATCACTACAATAAGTCTAGTTAAGGGCGCCTGGGTGGCTCAGTCGTTAAGCGTCTGCCTTCAGCTCAGGTCATGATCCCAGGGTCCTGGGATCGAGTCCCACATCGGGCTCCCTGCTCCGCGGGAAGCCTGCTTCTCCCTCTCCCACTCCCCCTGCTTGTGTTCCTGCTCTCGCTGTCTCTCTCTCTGTCAAATAAATAAATAAAATCTTTAAAAAAAAATAATAAGTATAGTTAATATCTGTCACCATATATAGTTACAATTTTTTTTCTTGTGATGAGAATGGAAATATGTACTACTGTCATTCTCATTTTTTAGATGAAGAAACTGAAGAACAGAGCAGTTGAACATCTTGCCCAAGGTCATATATATAGTTAAGCATGGCACTTGGACTCTAATCCAGGTGCTATGGGCTTTTAACTACTACAAAAATATTACTCCCCCACCTCCATTAAAATGAATAAAGATTGGAGGCACTGTTTGGGGGCAGTGCCTGGGTAGCTCAGTCAGTTAAGCGTCTGACTCGTGATCTCAACTCAGGTCTTGATGTGAGGGTCATGAGTTCAAGCCCCACACTGGGCTCCACATGGAGTCTATTTAAAAAAAGCAGCAGCAGCAGCACTGTTTTGGAAAAGGTGCTCACCCCTTATCTGCTGAGATACAGGAAAGGTCTACAGCAGATCTCATCCACCTAAAGTGTATAGTAACACTACATTCACTTAACCAAGATCTCTGAACATCTCAGATCAGGCTTCCATGTTTAAAAGAGATGTGATTCCTTATTAGTGAATAGTAGCAGAGTAAACTAGGAAACATTATCCTCTCTGGGGATGGAGATCTGGTCACCTTAACATCAAAAAACTGTACTGTGTGGTGAAATAATGACCCACTTAGGTTCCTGAAATCAACCATACAGAACTGTAATATGTCTTATATTTTTCTCATTATTAGACTTAATTCTAATTGTGGAATTATTATGAAATGTCAGAGCCACAAAATTTTAGAAATCCAATCTAAAACCTTATGTTCTAGATAAGGAAACTGAAGCCTATGGGGGTTGAGTAAGTTTAGCACAGCTTCATTAGTGTCACTGATAAATTTCAATTCTGGATTCAAGGGTTAGGATGATGTCTTACTGCATATCAGAAAGAGGATCAAACAAGGGATGTGAAAGTATTGGGTTCTAGTCCTAAGTTCATCTAATTGGTTGACTTCTTGAGTAAATCCTTAAAAGTCTTCTATTTACTAAAAACAAATGAGGTTGAGGGCGCCTGGGTGGCTCAGTTGGTTGAGCATCTGCCTTCGGCTCAGGTCATGATCCCAGGGTTGGGATCAAACCCCACATCAGGCTCCCTGCTTAGCGGGGAGCCTGCTTCGCCCTCTCCCTCTGCCTGCCGCTCCCCGATTGTGCTCTCTCCCTGTGTCAAAAAAATAAATAAAATCTTTTTTAAAAAATGAGGTTGTTGGTTTACTCCAGGTGACCCTTATGCAGTGGGGAACTGGCAAAAGCCATCTTGTGGGGTGGGGCGTCCTAATTTGTAACATTTGCTGATTTCCATAGCATACACATTCCCACTGTGGCAGTTTCAATGGTATTCATCAATTCAGTATGTTATCACTAAATGTGGAGCTGGGAATGGGTGTGCACAGTCAGCTCTTGCTTGCCATTGTGAATCGCCATCATACCACTGCCCCTAAGGATCCTTCTAGCTACAAAACTGAAGCATATATTATTTAACTTTATTGTACTACAGATCAAAGAGTTAATTTTGAAAATAGTAACAATATTTTTGAAATCTTATTTCTTCAGAGTTAATTCATCATTCATGAGAAATAAACTATTTTCTAGTTGAATTTGTATAATGTGAACCAGATCCTAGTCATTTTCTTATAAACTTCTGAGATATTGAAAATACTACCATAAGACTTCTGATGGGGGGGGAAATCAGTAGGTGTGTTAATGTTACTTAATTTTTTTCCTAGAAAAGTCTCCATCTCCTAGAGATTCTGAAATTAGTAAGATGGTGCACATAAATTATTTTACAACCTAATTTGTTTTAAAGATTATATTTATTTTTTATTTATTTTTCTGACAGAGAGACACACAGACGGAACACAAGCAGGGGGAGTGGGAGAGGGAGAAGCAGGCTCCCCGCCGAGCAAGGAACCCAATGCGGGGCTCAACCCCAGGACCCTGGGATCACAACCCGAGCCAAAGGCAGACACTTAACGACTGAGCCACCCAGGCACCCCTTACAACCTAATTTTTAAAAATAGTGAGACCTATCCCATATGTAAGACATAAAATACATATGTAGAATTTAATAAGAACAGTCATGTAAACATCACACAGGCCAGAGAAGAGAACGTTACCTGTACCCTATAGGCAAGTCCTTATATACCATAATGTATTTATCCATTCCACTGTCTATCCACGGTCTGAAATCATGATCTCAGCTATACCATATGAAACTAGAAAAGAAAGAGCAAATTAAACCTAAAGAAGTAGAAAAAAAAGGAAATAATAAGGACCAGACTGGAAATTAAGGAAATAGAAAACAGAAAAAAAATCAATGAGACCAAAAGCTGGTTTTTGAGATCAAGAAAAATGATAACTCTTTTTGTAGACTGATGAGGACAAAGAGAGAGAAGACACAAAATTTCAATAACAGGAAGAAGAGTGTGCACATCCTATCATTATTAAAGGATAATAGGAGAATATTATGAACTATGTCAATAAACGAAACAACTGAGATGAAATCACAAATTCCTTATAAAACCAAAGCCACTGAGCTTACTCAAAAAGAAAAAGATCATAAGCCTTATATCTAATAAAGACATTTCCTTGAATCTATTGAGGAAATTAGATAGCCTTTTATCTGAATTGCTCTATTTTTGTAGTTCACAACCTTCCCAGAGCCCAGATGGCTTCACTGATGAATTCTACCAAACATTTAAGGAAGAAATAATACACAATTCTACACAAATTGTTCCAGAAAATAGAGGACTCCTTCTAAGAGGCCAGCATTACCCTGATATCAAAACCAAACAAAGGTATAAGAAAACAAAACCATATAATCAATATCCCTCATGAACGTCAATGCAAAAATTCTAAACAAAACTAACAAACTGAATTTTGCAACATATAAAAAAGATAATATATCATGATCAAGTGAGGTTTATCCTAGGGATGCAAGGTTGGTTTAATGTTCAATTCAAAAATCAATCAAGGTACAGTAGTTGCCCCTTATCCATGGGGGATATGTTCCAGGACCCCCATTGGATGCCTGAAACCACAGATAGTACCAAACCCTATATAAACTACGTTTTTTCCTATATGTTATGTATAATAAAGGACACAGTAAAAGATTAATAACAAATAATAAAATAGAACAATTATAACAATATACTGTAATAAAAGTATGTGAATATGCTCTCTCTCTAAACATCTTACTGTACTGTACTCATCCTTTTTGTGATGATGTGATAAATGCCTATGTGATGAGATGAAGTGAGGGGAATGACACAGACATGTGACCTTGTGATGCTACATCAGTAGGAGGACCATCTACTGTGCTGGGCTGTGTTGGGCCGTGGGTAACTGAAAAGGTGGAAAGTGGAACTGTGGATAAGGAGGGACTACTGGAATTCACCATATTAGCAAACTAAAAAGCACAACTCATATGATCATCTCATTCGATGCAAAAAAGGATTTGAAAAAATCCAACATTCATCTTTGACTTTAAAAAGTTTTTTCAGGGGCACCTGGGTGGCTCAGTCACTTAAGCGTTAGACTCTTGGTTTCAACTCAGGTCATGATCTCGGGGTCATAAGCTTAAGCCCCACATTGAGCTCTATGCTCAGCGCAGAGTCAGCTTGGGATTCTTTCCTTCCCTCTCCTACCCCCATGCTCCTCCCCGCCCCTGCTCACACGCTGGCTCCCTCTCCCCCACCCCTTTTAAAGTAAATAAATAAATAAAAATCTTTAAGAAGCTTTTTCAGCAAACATGGACTAAAAAGGAACTTCCTCAACCTGATAAAGGGCATCTGTGAAACACCTACAGCCACGGTTATACTTAAGGATGACAGAATAAATACTTTTCCCCTAAGACAGACAAGGCAAAGATACCAGCTTTCGCCACTTTTATTCAACCTGGTACTGGAGAGTCTACGTAGTGCAAAAGGCAAGAAAAATAAATAAAAGGCATACAGATTGGAAGGAAGAGAGAAGACTGCTCCTATCTTCAGATGCCATGACTGTGTACAGAGAAAAGTCTAAAGATTCTAAATGGGAAAAAACCGCTTAAAAAAATAAGTTCAGCAAGGTCACAGGATATGAAATCAATATATTTTAAAAATCAATTATAATTCTATACATTAGCAATGAATAATCAGAAATTGAAATTACAAATGAATCACTTACTAAAAAAAAAACAAAAACAAATGAAACACTTATAATAGTACCAAAATATGGGGCGCCTGGGTGGCTCAGTTGGTTAAGTGACTGCCTTCGGCTCAGGTCATGATCCTGGAGTCCCGGGATCGAGTCCCGCATCGGGCTCCCTGCTCAGCAGGGAGTCTGCTTCTCCCTCTGGCCCTCCCCCCTCTCATGCTCTATCTCATTCTCTCTCTCAAATAAATAAATAAAATCTTTAAAAAAAAAATAGTACTAAAATATGAATTACATAGGGATCAATCTGAAAAAAGATGTGTAGCAGCACCTGGGTGGCTCAGTTGGTTAAGCGTCTGCCATCAGCTTAGGTCATGATCCCGGAATCCTGGGATCGAGCCCCATGTAGGGCTCCCTGCTCCATGGGGAGCCTGCTTCTCCCTCTACTCTTCCCGTCTGCTTGTGCCCTCGCTTTCTCTCTCTCATGCGCTCTCTCTCACAAATAAAAAAATAAATTCTTTTTTTATTATGTTATGTTAATCACCATACATTACATCATTAGTTTTTGATGTAGTGTTCCACGATTCATTATTTGCGTATAACACCCAGTGTTCCATTCAGTACATGCCCTCTTTAATACCCATCACCAGGCTAACCCATTCCTCCACCCCCCCTCCCCTCTAGAACCCTCAGTTTGTTTCTCAGAGTCCATAGTCTCTCATGGTTCATCTCCCCCTCCGATTTCCCCCCCTTCATTTTTCCCTTCCTACTATCTTCTTCTTCTTCTTTTTTTTTAACATATACAGTATTATTTGTTTCAGAGGTACAGGTCTGTGATTCATCAGTCTTACACAATTCACAGTGCTCACCATGGCACATACCCTCCCCAATGTCTATCACCCAGCCACCCCAGCCCTCCCACCCCCCACCACTCCAGGAACCCTCAGTTTGTTTCCTGAGATTAAGAATTCCTCATTATCAGTGAGATCATATGATACATGTCCTTCTCTGATTGACTTATTTTGCTTAGCATAATACCCTCTAGTTCTATCCATGTCATTGCAAATAGCAAGATTTCTTTTTTCTTGATGGCTGCATAATATTCCATTGTATATATATACCACCTCTTCTTTATCCATTTATCTGTTGATGGACATCTTGGCTCTTTCCATAGTTTGGCTATTGTGGGCATTGCTGCTATAAACATTGGGGTGCAGGTGCCCCTTCAGATCACTACATTTGTATCTTTGGGGTAAATACCCAGTAGTGCAATTGCTGGGTCATATGGTAGCTCTATTTTCAACTTTTTGAGGAACCTCCATACTGTTTTCTAGAGTGGCTGCACCAGCTTATATTCCCACCAACAGTGTAGGAGGGTTCCCCTTTCTCAGCATCCCGCCAACATCTGTCGTTTCCTGACTTGTTAATTTTAGCCATTCTGACTGGTGTGAGGTGGTACCTCGATGAGGTTTTGATTTGGACTTCCCTGATGCCCAGCGATGTTGAGCACTTTTTCATGTGTCTGTTGGCCACCTGGATGTCTTCTTTGGAAAAATGTTCATGTCTTCTGCCCATTTCTTGACTGGATTGTTCTTTGGGTGTTGAGTTTGATAAGTTCTTTATAGATTTTGGATATAGCCCTTTATCTGATAAGACATTTGCAAATATCTTCTCCCATTCTGTCAGTTGTCTTTTGGTTTTGTTGACTGTTTCCTTTGCTGTGCAAAAGCTTTTTATCTCTATGAAGTCCCAATAGTTCATTTTTGCCCTTGCTTCCCTTGCCTTTGGCGATGTTTCTAGGAAGAAGTTTCTGCAGCTGAGGTCGAAGAGGTTGCTCTCTATGTTCTCCTCTAGGATTTTGATGGACTCCTGTCTCACATTTAGGTCTTTCATCCATTTTGAGTCTATTTTTGTGTGTGGTGTAAGGAAATGGTCCAGGTTCATTCTTCTGCATGTGGCTGTCCAATTTTCCCAACACCATTTGTTGAAGAGACTGTCTTTTTTCCATTAGACATTCTTTCCTGCTTTATCGAAGATTTGTTTTAAAAAAAAAAAGATGTGTAAGACCTATACACTAAAAACTGTTGTGTAAGACCTATCTATACACAATAAAACTTTGTTGAAAGAAATAAAGGACTTAAGTCAATGAAAAGATATATGGTCTTCACAGATCCAAAGACTCAATATTGTCAGGATGTCAATTCTTCACAAATTGATCAATAGATAAAATGTAAACACAATCAAAATCCCAACAGGGTTTCTTGGAGAAACTGATAAGCTAATTTTTAAAATTTCATATATGGAAAGCAAAGTACCTAGAATAGCCTGCTCAATCTGGAAAAAGAACAACAGGGGCGCCTGGGTGGCTCAGTCGTTAAGTGTCTGCCTTCGGCTCAGGTCATGATCCCAGGGTCCTGAGATCAAGCCCCGCATTGGGCTCCCTGCTTGGCGGGGAGCCTGCTTCTCCCTCTTCCTCTGCTCCTTCCCTAGCTGCTGCTCTCATTCGCTCACTCCCTCAAATAAATAAATAAAATCTTTGAAAAAAAAAAAAAAAAGAACAAATTTGGAGAATACACTACTGGATATCAAAAATTCTAAAACTGCAGTAATCCAGATAGTTTCATAACAGAACACAACAGAATGTGCAGAGTAATATCCACTGTAGATGAGAGCCCATATCGAGCGCTGGTGAGGAAGCGAGCAACACCAACAGGCATACAACTGCTGGCATGAGTGGAAATGGGTTTAACAGTTTCTTAAAAAGTTAAACACACACATACCACTGTGACTTAGACATCCCATTCCTAGATATTTGCTCAACCTTGAGGAATGAAAGCAATGCGTATGTACATAAATATGCATTGAAGCTTTGTTTGCAATAATCAAAACCGCAACAATTCAAATGCCCATCAACACAGAATGGATAGTGTATATGCATATAATGAAATACTACTCAGCACTAAAAAGCATGAACTTTTAATAAAAGCAACAATCTGTGTGAATCTCAAAATAATTATGCCTTGTCAAAGAAGTCAGACCAAAAAAGTATACATTCTATTTATATAAATTCTAGAAAATGAAAAATAATCTTTGGTGTTGGAAAGTGGATCAGACATTGCCTGGGAAGGGGATGAGGCTGGAAGGAGAAATGACAAAGGGGTACAAGGAAACTTTGAGTGTGTTAGATATTTTGCTTTTTTTTTATCGTCATAATCATTTTATGGGTGTATCTATAATTTAGAAATTATCAGATTGTATGTGTAGTTTGTGTAGTTTGTTGTAAATCAAGTCAACCTAAGACGTCTGCTAAAAACAAACAGAACAAAAGTAAGGGCAAGATAGTGTTATTACCTTCATCTCATCCAGCTCCCGAAGTTCCTTAGCAGGATTTTTTTCTAAGTGACCTGCCTTATTCAGAGCCATAGCTGTTACCAGCCCTTTGCAACAACTGGGGGGACAAAAAGCACACACACAGAATGATCTATTTATTGTTGGCTCCTCTTGTAAGTGTTTTAAATCCCTATTCAGTTACCATAATAATTAAACTGTTGACAATAATCTCTCAGTTTCTCACCCTCATCCTGATCCCCCCCTCCATTCCTCTCACTCTTGACCACTGGTAACACTGAATGGAAATGAAGGAGAAAATTGGCTAGACCATAAAAGTTACTTCCTGAATTAGAAGCAATCCTAGTGACACATGCTTCCTAGTTAATAAATTACAATTTTTCAGACCTCATCTGTATTTGGTAGGAATCTTCTAGCTTTTCAGATATAAGGGATTTTCGGCTGAAATTTTTTTAAGAGATGTTTTGGGGGCACCTGGGTAGCTCTGTCAGTTAAGCATCTGCCTTCGGCTCAGGTAGTGATCTCAGGGTCCTGGGATGGAACCTCGCATCGGGCTCCCTGTTCAGCTTGGTTCTCCCTCTCCCTTTCCCTCTGCTCACGCTTGCTCTCTCTCTCAAATAGATAATAAATAAATAAATAAATTTTTAAAATAAAAGATGTTGGGGCGCCTGGCTGGCTCAGTCGTTAAGCGTCTGCCTTTGGCTCAGGTCATAATCCCAGAGTCCTGGGATCGAGCCCCACATCGGGCTCCCTGCTCAGCAGGAAGCCTGCTTCTCCCTCTCCCACTCCCCCTGCTTGTGTTTCCTCTCTCGCTGTGTCTCTGTCAAATAAATTTTAAAAAATCTATACATACATAAATAAATAAATAAATAAATAAATAAATAAATAAATAAAATAAAAGAGATGTTTCAGTTGGTGTTCAGTGAAACCAAACATATTTAGTGAAATATAAGTGTACATTCAGTTTTGCACGGAATGACACAGGAAGTACAAGCTTCTTCATAAATGCCCCTCCAGTATGAGCAAACATGCAAGATATATCTTATTAATGCAAGCAAGTGGGCCTTTATGGTTTAATCTGGTTTTCTTTTTACTAATTCTCGCTCCCGAGCAGGCATATACTTCCCACCCTACTTATGGTAACATTATGTTCAAAAGAATTCTAAAGCCATTGGGAAAACACTAAAATCATGTATTTCAACTGGGCAGTGTTGAAACTAGTTTAAAAACTAGAAAAAACTAGGGGCGCCTGGGTGGCTCAGTCATTAAGCGTTGCCTTCGGCTCAGGTCATGATCCCAGGGTCCTGGGATCGAGCCCCGCATCGAGCCCCACATCGGGCTCCCTGCTCGGCTGGAAGCCTGCTTCTCCCTCTCCCACTCCCCCTGCTTGTGTTCCCTCTCTCGCTGTGCCTCTCTCTGTCAAATAAATAAATAAGATCTTTAAAAAAAAAAAAAAAAAAAAACTAGAAAAACTAGCATTTCTTTCAAGGTTTGCAAACAGTCCCTTATTGCTGCTACCTCCTTGCCCTTATCTACTCTCTTTATGTCACATTTAATCTTCAAAAGGATAGTAATAAAACAGCCAGATAGTTTCACCTGCTCAAATAGCTGGAATATTGCGCCAACTTTCTGGCCAGTGCAATCGCATCTAGCTCTAACTTTGCAACTCCTAGATCATGTTTCTCAGCACTTTCTTTCCTCAAATTTGGGAGAGTGTTTTGGTCAGTACAGTCAGGTACCATTAAAATCAGCAAGCTTACCATCCACTGGATCATAGATATATGCAATTCATCCATCTGTTAAAAAGTGATTATAACATAAATGACTCATTTTAAAAATCAAATAGTGAAAAACATACCAAATTTAAAAAGAGAAATCACATCTGTGTCCAACTTTTAACAACACTCTCATTCTTAATGACATCAAATCATCACTACTCTGATTTTGTTCTTTTGTTCACTATACTAGATTAAACTACCCTCCTCCTCCTCTTTAGCTTGGTCAAGGGTATTAACCCATTAAAGTTGCAGTTCCCCGATTGTGTACCAAGGCACTGAAGGGCTCTGCAGCAAACTGTCAAGGATGCCATAGGATTTTAAATTCTTGAGGGAAGTCATAGTGATGTGTGACATCAATCAACACAGCATGAACTTGACATAGTTCACAGTTCCAACATTAGATGCACTGTTATCACTTCTGATGACATCTTACCTTTGCAAAGCTGGTTTTATTGATGGTTGTGTGGTTTAAAAAAAAAAAAAAAAAACAAGTACTTTGGGAAAATCAAGGTACAACAGGGTGGCACTGTCCAACCTGGTTCCAAGGTTAGAGAAGTTGTACAATGTCCAAATACATATGTTCCATTGGTAAGTAATTCTGATTAGAAGAGAATAAAATAAAAGGTTCTTTTTTTTCAGTGTATGTGTATCTAATAAGTTAAATTAAGACATTAAATTTTAGGGATGCCTGGGTGGCTCAGTTGGTTAAGCATCTGACTTCGGCTCAGGTCATGATCCCAGGGTTCTGGGATCGAGCCCCACATCAGGCTCCTTGCTTGGGGGGGAGCCTGCTTCTCCCTCTGCCTGCCGCTCCCCCTGCTTGTGCTCACTCACTCTCACTCGTTCTGTCTCTGACAAAATAAATTTTAAAAAAATAAATTTTTAAAAAAAGACATTGGGCGCCTGGGTGGCTCAGTTGGTTAAGCGACTGCCTTCGGCTCAGGTCATGATCCTGGAGTCCCGGGATCGAGTCCCACATCGGGCTCCCTGCTCGGCGGGGAGTCTGCTTCTCCCTCTGACCCTCCTCCCTCTCATGCTCTCTGTCTCTCATTCTCTCTGTCTCAAATAAATAAATAAAATCTTTAAAAAAAAAATTTAAAAAAATAAAGAAAAAATAAAAAAAGACATTAAATTTTACAAAGCTTATTTGAGCAAACGATTAGAATCAGGCAGCATCAAAACCAAAAAATGGTTAGGGGCATTCTGCTGGCAGGGGCCAGGAAAAAGATTTTAAAAGAGAAGATGTTAAAGCAGAGCAAAGAAATTATTTAATTGGCTATAACTCAAATGTTTGCCTTATTTGGGAAAATTTAGTTATTTGGCTGTTCTAATAGTTGTTCTTGAGTTTCATTTTTCCATAATCAAGAAAATCTAGTTGAATATGAAGAGTTCCTGAGTTTTGTTTTCTTAGATTCAAGTGCATGGACTCTGGTTTGGGTTTGTTTATAGAGGTTACCACAGGCACAAGGGCTACCCCAGTCTAAAGGCCTCCTTGTTTAAGTGTTTTAACATGTATTACTTTTCCAAACAGTTACTAAGTTATTAGCACAGAAATATTTAGTAAGTTGTTTGAACCTACCTACTTAATAAACTGAACTCTGAGGTATTTATTTTAGTTTAGGAGTATGAAAATACCGAGGCACAAAGGGCAGTGTGAACCGGTCAAGTTTGGGAACCTCTGCATTATGCTATTTGCGGAGGCTGGGACCAAAAAATCAAACGCAGAAAACTTTATGAAATGCAAACATCTAAGCACACCATACCCTTCAAATGCTCTATCCCCTTTCTCTGTTGGTGAGTTCCTCAGTCCTCTTCTCTAGGCTTAAACATGACCTACTCTGAGAAGTTTTTTTAACTTTGACTGGCTTTAATTTGCTCCTTTCCCACGTTTCTATGGTACTTTGTACACCTCTATTATAACAGTTTGCACATCTGTGACCTCAATTAGCCTGTGCGTCTCTTTAAGACATGGGCCATCATTTTATCCCTCAAAACCACACACAGTACTTGGCAGAGAATTAAGTGCTTAACAGATGCTTGTTAGAGGGACAAATAAAAATCAAACTTGGTAGCCCATCTGGTAGTAAAACCCAAGCCCCCCACCTCAGAAGGAAAGGTTGTTAATGACCTAAAGCAATGTTGAACAGTGTATTTTTACACCTTAATTGACACATCAGGAACAGGGCAACTCTTCCGAGGAATGGTTTAAAAAGACTGTTATCCCATTTCACAAGTCAAAAGATATGTCCCCCCCCCCCCACATTCATAAGATATGCCCCTGCTGCTTCTCAAAGTAAATAAATTCCTAACTGTTCTTTCTTATACCAATGCCCTGGATTTTACTGTCATTGAAAGAACTAATTTGTGCTTACATAAAATATTAATCAATCCTTGAACTGTCCCTAATAAACAAACAGAAAAATGTTATCTTCATTTCAGAGTTATATTGGAGAGATTAAATGATAGAATCTAGGACATGCAATAATTCATGTGAATTTAAAATTAGAATCAAATTACACACAAAAGTATATCTTTTACTTTCGCAAAGATGTGAAAGCATTCTTTGTAATTAGAGAGTACGTATGATAACTTTTATTGTGATCCTGATACAAAATTCATAAGAGAATTTTTAATGAATTAAGTGATTTTCTTTTAGGAAAAGACTTATTCCAAATTCACTAATCTTGTCAGGGATGACAAGTAGCTAGCTACTTAGCTAACTTCTAGCTGATTTTTTTAATCATAAATAATTTGTCCCGGGTGCCTGGGTGGCTTAGTTGGTTAAGCGACTGCCTTCGGCTCAGGTCGTGATCCTGGAGTCCCTGGATCGAGTCCCGCATCGGGCTCCCTGCTCAGCTGGGGGTCTGCTTCTCCCTCTGACCCTCCTCCTTCTCATGCTCTCTGTCTCTCATTCTCTCTCTCTCAAATAAATAAATAAAAAATCTTTAAAAAAAAAAAAAAAGAAATACTAAAAAAAAATAATAATAATTTGTCCCTTCAAAATATAAGTGATATTTAATAATGAGTAAGAGAAATTTATGTTATGGGCAGGTCATTTTGAAAATGGATAAGAAGAATTTCCACCTTGGTATGATTTTGCTGCTGACAATGACACATAGCTCACTTTTTAAAACTTTCAAATTTATTTTTTTAAAGATTTTATTTATTTATTTGACAGAGAGAGACACAGCAAGAGAGGGAACACAAGCAGGGGGAGTGGGAGAGGGAGAGGCAGGCTTTCCACTGAGCAGGGAGCCCAATGCGGGGCTCAATCCCAGGACCCTGGGATCATGACCTGAGCCGAAGGCAGATGCTTAACCGACTGAGCCACCCAGGCGCCCCTAAAACTTTCAAATTTATATACTTTAAAATCTGGAAATAAGTTTCTAATTGTTCTAAAATCTTATAATTAAAGTGTTTCAGCTGGCTGAGAATCTTTTGTTAAAATGTAGAAGTGCTCCATCGTCTAATGTCAGCAAGAACAACTGACATTAGAGTAGAGGGAAAATTTTACTAGTCAATTTAATAGAAACCTTTGCATAACACTGATGGAATTAAAGGATGAGTCTTATTATTTAATAAATACAGTCAATAAAGCACTTCTTCAATTTCGATTCATTTTTCTTTGTGAGCTATCATTTCAGAATGACAGTCCTTAAAAGCAAGTGCTGAAGCTGACCTTCAAATGACTTTATCATTAAGTATTAACTTGTGATTATAAAAAATTATAAAACCTGTTCACTTACATCAGTTTTTTAACTATTACTAAAAATTATCTTAAAATGTTGTTTACTTCAACACAAAAATAGACTCAAAATGGATGAAAGACCTAAATATGAGACAGGAATCCATCAAAATCCTTGAGGAGAACACAGGCAGCAACCTCTTCAACCTCAGCCGCAGAAACTTCTTCCTAGAAACATCCCCAAAGGCAAGGGAAGCAAGGGCAAAAATGAACTATTGGGACTTCATCGAGATAAAAAGCTTTTGCACAGCAAAGGAAACAGTCAAAAAAAACAAAAAACAACGACAGAATGGGAGAAGATATTTGCAAATGTCTTATCAGATAAAGGGCTAGTAACTAAAATCTATAAAGAACTTATCAAACTCAACACCCAAAGAACAAAGAATCCAATCAAGAAATGGGCAGAAGACATGAACAGACATTTTTCCAAAGAAGACATCCAAATGGCCAACAGACACATGAAAAAATGCCCAACATTGCTCAGCATCAGGGAAATCCAAATCAAAACCTCAATGAGATACCACCTCACACCAATCAGAATGACTAAAATTAACAAGTCAGGAAATGACACATGTTGGGGATGCTGAGAAAGGGGAACCCTCCTACACTGTTGGTGGGAATGTAAGCTGGTACAGCCACTCTGGAAAACAGTATGGAGGTTCCTCAAAAAGTTGAAAATAGAGCTACCCTATGACCCAGCAATTGCACTACTGGGTATTTACCCCAAAGATACAAATGTAGTGATCCGAAGGGGTACATGCACCCCAATGTTTATAGCAGCAATGTCCACAATAGCCAAACTATGGAAAGAGCCCAGATGTCCATTGACAGATGAATGGATAAAGAAGATGTGGTATATATATATACAATGGAATATTATGCAGCCATCAAGAAAAACGAAATCTTACCATTTGCAACGACGTGGATGGAACTGGAGGATATTATGTTGAGCGAAATAAGTCAATCAGAGAAAGACAAGTATCATATGATCTCACTGATATGAGGAATTTAAAAAACAAGACAGAGGATCATAGGGGAAGGGAGGAAAAAATGAAACAAGATGAAACCAGAGAGGGAAACAAACCATAAGATTAATCTCAGGAAACAAACTGAGGGTTGCTGGAGTGGTGGGGGATAGGAGGGATGGGGGTTGCTCGGTGATGGACATTGGGGAGGGTATGTGCTATGGTGAGCGCTGTGAATTGTGTAATTCTGATGAATCACAGACCTGTAAACAAATAATACATTATATGTTAAAAAAAAAAAAAGATAGTAGCAAGGGAAAAATGAGGGGGGCAGAAATCGGAGGGGGAGACGAACCATGAGAGACTATGGACTCTGAGAAACAAACTGAGGGTTCTAGAGGGGGGGGTGGGGGGATAGATTAGCCCGGTGATAGGTATTAAGGAGGGCAGGTACTGAATGGAGCACCGGGTGTTATACACAAACAATGAATCATGGAACACTACATCAAAAACTAATAATGTAATGTACGGTGACTAACATAACATAATAAAGTAAAATTAATTTTAAAAAAAGCTATTCAAGGAAAAAAATGTTGTTTACCTCATCCTGTTTCACTGTTTATATGTGTTTTATACATGTAAGTTAGGAATGACAAAGATCTTTTTGCTGATAGAGACACATGGTGAAAAGGGTTTGAAGATCAGTGTTTTAGCTTGTCAAGCAGCACAGAGTAGATGGAGTTATGATGTAAAAGAAAAAAAAAACAAAACAAAACTGAAGGTAAGAAAATGAATCAGAAAGGAAAATGAATGGTGGGTGGAAAAAAGGCAAACTTTTCCATTTTTAAATAGTTATAGCAGTTAATATGGATATACACAGTTCCTCAAGGAATTTATAATCTTGCCAGTTTCCTACACACTTCAATTATAATATCATAATGTAGTGTTAAAATAGAGGTATATTATGGCTACTTTCTAAATAACCTTGTGCTACAAAGACTGAATTCCATAATATAAAAAAATTGAGTAAATGATTCCATGGAGATAAATACCTAACAGGAAACCGAGTATTTACCAAAGAAGGGGTCAGTGTAACAATACCATAAGACAACAGTGCTGGAATGTTCTTCCTTACTTCATTCAATAAGTATTTATTGAGTCTCATTATGTGACAATACTATGCTACCCTTTTTCTTAATTTTGGTTGTCTTCCAAGTTATAGAAATTTCTCTTAAGTCTGGGGATCCCCTGGATTCATTCTTCCAGTCTTAATATATTTGCTCCTCAACTCTTGATGTCTATGTTTACAACATAGTTCATAGACTGTGATACAATGTAATACTTCGTAAATAGAATTCCCATATAACATCACAGTCTTTGCCTTTCAAATTCCTTTTTTTTAAAAGATTTTATTTGGGCGCCTGGGTGGCTCAGTTGGTTAAGCAACTGCCTTCGACTCAGGTCATGATCCTGGAGTCCCTGGATCGAGTCCCACATCGGGCTCCCTGCTCGGCAGGGAGTCTGCTTCGTCCTCTGACCCTATCCCCTCTCATGTGTTCTCTCTCTCTCATTCTCTCTCTCTCAAATAAATAAATAAAATCTTTAAAAAAAAATTTATTTATTTATTTGAGAGAGAGAGAGAGACCGAGAGAGAGAGACAGAGCATGAGTGGGGGTAGGAGGCAGAGGGAGAAGCGGACTCCCCACCAAGCAGAGAGCCAGGCACAGGGGTCCATCCCAGGACCCTGGGATCATGACCTTAGCTGAAGGCAGCTGCTTAACCAACTGAGCCACCCAGGCGCTCCTCAAATTCCTAATTTAAGCAATATTTAAGTGAATTAAGTTCATTTTACCAATTTTGTAAGATCAAATATTTGCATATTAAGTTTAATTATAATAAGAGATTCCTGTGTAAATCTAGATTATAATTAAGACTAGGCAGTAGGAGTAAATGAAGTAAACTATGCCTTTGGAAATTATTATTTCATGTTGTGCTGGTTAAGAAGTCCACAGGTTCAGGGGCGCCTGGGTGGCTCAATCGGTTGACCGTCTGGCTCTTGATTTTGGGCTCAGGGCATGATCACAGGCTGTAAGATCCATCCCCACATCTGGCTCTGTGCTCAGTGGGGAGTCTGCTTGAGATTCTCTCTCCCTCTCCCTCTCCCTCTGCCCCTCCCCCTGCTCATGTGTGCTCTCTCTCTCTCTCTAAAATAAATAAATAAATCTTAAAAAAAAAAAAGAAGTTCACAGGTTTTGTGCTAAAAATTATAGACTAATAATACTGTGGCATCCTGTCTTTCTTCTTAATATGTTTCGTCATCCTTCAGCCAGGCAGGAGCACCAACATAAATCCTTAAAATGTTCACATTCCAGATTAATACTATTAAGGGGGAAAAAATCAGTATACTGAGTAAAGAGCAAAGATAATTAGAACTCGAAACTTTTGATCATCTCTGAAACTTCATTCCAAATGCAGGAACATACTACATTTAAAAATCCCTGCAGGGCGCCTGGGTGGCTCAGTTGGTTAAGCAACTGCCTTCGGCTCAGGTCATGATCCCAGGGTCCTGAGATCAAGTCCCATGTCGGGCTGCCTGCTCAGCGGGGAGCCTGCTTCTCCCTCTCCCTCCGCCTGCCACTCCCCCTGCTTATGCTCTCTCTCATTGTCAAATAAATAAATAAAATCTTTAAAAAAAAAAAAGTCCCTGCAAATCATGAGTAATTATATCACAAAAGTTCCCATTTTGCCCTCCTAACCTCCTGCTTCAGCTGGATGGGCATGACCTAGTCTTTCCTTGAAGAAAACTCCCAGCCAAGGCAAAATATAATTTCACAAACCCCTACAAGTACATACATGGCGCTGAAGTTCAATGTTACCATTGTTAATCTCATTGCTTATCTTCAAAAGCCACTGTTGAATCATGTTAAATATTTGTGCTTGGAGTACCCTGAAGGAAAAAATCAAGTAAAATAAATATAAGATATACTTAGAGTGTAAAAGTCTATCAGCTAAAAGAAAGGGTTTTATTTGGCGGGGCCTAGGAAATGTAGGTGTTGACAACTATTTGAGAATTCAGGGAAAGGGGAATCAAAGCCCTGAATTACCTGGTAGAATGGCTTACTCACTATCACAGCCTTCCTAACCGTGGGCAGGTAGCAACTGGCATGATGCACTTTGAACAAGGTAGATCTTACCTTCAGTGCTAGCTCTCTATTGTAAAAACTCAGACTCATACCCTTTATATTCACTTCTAGGCAGTGAGACCACAAAATGAGAAGAGTGAATTTTTAAATTCTCAAGAGATCAATTTCCAACGGGAGAGTGTGAGGAGCAAAGTTGATCCACCCTCCCAGTGAAGCTGGTGAGAATTATTTTAAAAACAAAACAAAACCAAAACACTGAAAGCATCTAGAAACGTCCTAAAGACAAAGAGCAACTGAAGAAACGTGTCTTCAAGACAATCTATGAAAATTCAGTAAAAAAGGCAAGATCCTATGGTATTTAAAAACAAGACTACCCTCCTCTTTCCGCTGTCAGCTCAGTGAGGCAGAAACTCCACTCTAGACTGCTGCAGCCAAGAACACAGAACTCCCTCCCTCACCCTCCAGCTCCCAGTCAGAGGGCTTTCTTCCTGGGAGGCACAAGAATTCCAAGGCTTCTATATGTGACCCCAGTTGCCTGTTGCTGAGGCTAGGTACTGGGAAAATGCAGCTGAGAAGTGGGGATTCCCTTCCATCCAGCAGAAAGCTGTGGGAACTTACGGGCCAGAATCCACATCCATATACTGAGGAACGGTACCAATAATGTTTATTGATGCATCCAACTGAGATTTCATTTCATTAACTTTTTCATTAACTCCTTCCCATTCTTCATGAAGCATTTCAGGAAACTCCAGGACATTTGCCAACTTGAAAGAACAGAATTCTAGAGAACTAACCAAACTTGGAATAATTTTAGAGATACCTAGAAAAGTGAGAAAAGTACTAACTTTTAAAAGTATTCGTAAGTCTACCATTGCAATAATAAATTACAAAAATACTAAAGGATAGGGGCATATCTTCTTTTCATCTTTTTATTATCCTACAGTTTAGGCCCTAGCAGAGACTCTTGCAAAGAATAGTTCTTAAACAAATGTTTAGTGAATAAACACGGTGCAGTCAGTGCTGTTCTGACTGATGGACTATTTATTTCTTTGATGACAGTTTATACCCTTAAGTTTCTTGTCTTCTCAGCTGAGAACCAAATGCATTAAACTCAGAAACTACAAATTACAGTTTTCTATAATAGGCATTAATTCACTCATTCTGTTAAGAAGATAATGATGATAAACAGCTTCTTTGTGATTATAGGATAGTTGATAACAGAAATGAGAATAGTCTAGTATTTGAGTCATTTTTTAGGTCATTGTTCAGGTTTTCATGAAGCTTATAGTTTTGGTCTGAACAAGGATTGAGTCTGGATCCTAATCTTTGACCGATTCACTGTGAAAATATTGGCAAATTACCCCCTCTATACCTTTGTCTTATCTCATTTGCAAAATAAGAGATGAAATGCTCCCATCTTAAGGGTGCGTGGGTGGCCCAGTCGGTTAAGCATCTGCCTTCAGCTCAGGTCATGATCCCAGGGTCCTGGGATAGAGTCCCACATTAGGCTGTCTGCTCAGCAGGGAGTCTGCTTCTCCCCTCTCCCTTTCACTCTCCCTCTGTGTTTTCCCTCTCTCTCTAATAAAAAATAAAATCTTAAAAAAAAAAGAAATGCTCCCACCTTAGAGATTTATAAAGAGGAATAGTTAAAAAGCAAACTTTTTCTTGTCCTTGATGAAAATATTTTACTGCCTTCATCAGTAAACTTTGATCTCTTATGAGTATTCAAACTGATCTGTTAATTTCACTATCATTCATCATTTTGACTTACTCATTTATTTTAAACCATTTACTACTTCATTTTTTCTCTGCCCACTATATATTCTCATGGAGAAGTATTAGCATCTTATCTCTAACTACATTACTGAGGCTATAGATAATTAAGATTGTGTTTTCCCAATGGAAGTAGTTTTATATTGAACAACAGTGCCAATCAATGGACCAGGGTTACCTAAACACTTTACTGGGAAGGATTCTTTTTTTCTTTTTTTTTAATTTTAAGTAGGCTCCATGCCCAACATGGGCTTGAACTCATGACCCTGAGATCAAGAGTCACATGCTCTACTAACTGAGCCAGCCAGTCAACCTACCTGGGAAGGATTCTTAAGTAACACATGATGCAAGTCATGTGAGTAAAGTCATCATTCTCATGAAATATAGTATCATCCAGGGTCTCAAATTATCTCTAGAGTTTCTCACACACAATGTCCAACATCAAGAAACAGTCAAGAATATGAGAAGAATTGACTCTTGTGAGTCAAGACAAAATACAGACAATAAAAAAAAAAGACCTATAGGAGAACCAGATAGTACCAAATTATCAGGCATGGACTTTACAATTAACTGTGAGCAGAACAGAAAGCCAAGAAGTACACCCACGCTTATATGGTCAATTAATCTATGACAAAGGAGGCAAGTATATATGATGGGGAAAAGACAGTCTCTTTGATAAATGGTGCTGGGAAAACTGGACAGCTGCATGCAAAAGAATGAAATTGGACCACTGTCTTACACCATGCACAAAAATAAACACAAAATGGATTAAAGAATAAATGTAAGACCTGAAACCATAAAACTCCTAGAAGAAAACAGGCAGTAATCTACTACAAAGCAACAGTAATCAAGACAGTTGGTACTGGCACAAGGACAGACATCCAGATCAATGGAATAGAATTCAAAATCCAGAAATAAACCCATACATCTATGGTCAACTAATTTTTGACAAGAGTGTCAAAGACCACTAAATGTGGAAACTGTGGTCTTTCTAACAAATGGTAGTGGGATAACTGGATATCCACATGCAAAAGAAGCCTTTACCTCACACTATATACAAAAATTAACTCAAAATGGTCAAATACCATAATATAAGAGCAAAAACTACAAAACTCTTAGATGGACACATTAGGGGTAAACTTCATGACTTTAAATTTGGCAAAGGATTCAAAGACATGGCACTGAAAGCACAAACAAAAAAAAGAAAAAATAGATAAATTGGACTTCATCAAAATTTAAAATTTTGCACTGCAAAGGACACCATCAAAAAAAATGAAAAAACAAAAACAGCCCACGGATTAAGAGAAAATATTTACAATTCATATATCTGAAAAAACACTTGTATCTAGAGTATATAAAGAACTCTAACAACTCAATAGAAGAAAGACAAAAACCCCAATTAAAATATGGACAAAGGATCTGAATAGACATTTCTCCAAAGAAGATAGACAAATGGCTAATAAGCCTTAAAAAGGTGCTCAACATCAGTAGTCATCAGAAAAACATGAATCAAAATCAAAAGTCAGATAACAAGTGATGGCAAGGATGTGGAAAAATCAAAGCCCTCAAACACTAGGGGTGGGTATTTAAAATGATCCTGCTTTGGGGTGCCTGGGTGGCTCAGTCGTTAAGTGTCTGCCTTTGGCTCAGGTCATAATCCCAGGGTCCTAGGATCGAGCCCCGCATCAGGCTCCCTGCTCAGCGGGAAGCCTGCTTCTCCCTCTCCCATTCCCCCTGCTTATTATGTTCCCTCTCTCGCTGTGTCTCTCTCTGTCAAATAAATAAAAATCTTTTAAAAAATAAAAATAAAATAAAAATAAAATGATCCGGCCTGGGGTGCCTGAGTGGCTCAGTCGTTAAGCGTCTGCCTCTGGCTCGGGTCATGATCCTGGAGTCCTGGGATCAAGTCCCACATTGGGCTCCCCGCTCAGCGGGGAAGTAGGCTTCTCCCTCCAACACTCCCCCCTCTCATGCTCTCTGTCTCTCTCTCTCATTCTCTCACTCACAAATAAATAAATAAAATCTTTAAAAAAAAAAAAAAAAGCAGGCGCCTGGGTGGCTCAGTTGGTTAAGCGACTGCCTTCGGCTCAGGTCATGATCCTGGAGTCCCTGGATCGAGTCCCGCATCGGGCTCCCTGCTAGGCAGGGAGTCTGTTTCTCCCTCTGACCCTCCCCCCTCTCTCTCATTCTCTCTCTCTCAAATAAATAAATAAAATCTTTAAAAAAAAAAAAAAAAAAAGCATCTGCCTTCAGCTCAAGTCATGATCCCAGGGTCCTGGGATCGGGCCCCAAGTCACGCTCCCTGCTCTGCTTCTCCCTCTCCTCTGCCCCTTGCTATGCTCATGCGAGCATATGCTCTCTCTCTCTCTCAAATAAAAAAAAAGTGGAAGCAACACAAATGTCCATCAATGGATGAAATGATAAACAAAATGCAATATACACATACAATGGAATATTATTCCATCATAAAGATTAATAGAGCACTGACAAATGCTAAAACATAGGTGAACGTTTAAAACATTATGCTATGTGAAAGAAGTCAGTCATAAAACATCATATACTATATAATTCCATTCATATGAAAGTCGAGACTAGAGAAATCTACAGAGATAGAAAGTCTGGGATGGGAGGACAAAAGGGCTATAGCTAATGGGTACAGTGCTTCTTTTGAGGTTTATTTTGATGAAAATATTCTAAAATTGACTGTGGTAATGGTGGCACAAATCTGTGAATGTACTAAAAATCATCAAATTATATACTTTAAATGGGAAATTATATTGCATATGAATTATATCTCAAAAAAGCAGTGCTCAGGGACGCCTGGGTGGTTCAGCTGGTTAAGCGGCTGCCTTCGGCTCAGGTCATGATCCTAAGGTCCTGGGATTGAGCCCCACATCAGGCTCCTTGCTCAGCGGGGAGCCTGCTTCTTCCTCTGCCTGCCACTCCCCCTGCTTGTGCTCTCTCTCTGATTTAAAAAAAAAAAAAAAAGCAGTGCTCAATGCTTTATTTTGCTTGATTTTTAAAACCATACGTAACATTATTTAGATTTTAAATATTAACTGTATTACAAATAATAGTCACTATTAAAATGTTTTATAATGTCGGGCGCCTGGGTGGCTCAGTTGGTTAAGCGACTGCCTTCGGCTCAGGTCATGATCCTGGAGTCCTGGGATGGAGTCCCGCATCGGGCTTCCTGCTCAGCAGGGAGTCTGCTTCTCCCTCTGACCCTCCTCCCTCTCCTGCTGTCTGTCTCTCACTCCCTCTCTCAAATAAATAAATAAAATCTTAAAAAAAAAAAATGTTTTGGGGCGCCTGGGTGGCTCAGTCGTTGAGCGTCTGCCTTCGGCTCAGGTCATGATCCCAGGGTCCTGGGATCGATCCCCGCATCGGGCTCCCTGCTCGGCGGGGAGTCTGCTTCTCCCTCTCCAACTCCCCCTGCTTGTGTTCCCTCTCTCGCTGTGTCTCTCTCTGTCAAATAAATAAATAAAATCTTAAAAAAAAAAAAATGTTTTATAATGTCAAGCAACATATCATTGTTTTTTTCTTACCATTATCCCCATTTATTCTTATTTCAAATTCTTTGTAGAGTCTTCCTATGGTTTTCACAATTTCCTTCATGTGCTCTTGCTCTGGTGGCATCTCCCCCTCCATACTTTTATGGCGATTCAATATCCCAAACCCAACATCTGTCCAGTTTTCTTGTAAATGTTTAATAATCTTGAGAGAATCATACTTTGACACTAGAAAATCCCCAGTATACTTGTCTTTATCTTCATTCAACATCTAGAGAATGAAAGGGGGTGAGGAAATTAGACTATTATTCACTAATGATTTCATCAAAGTCTACCCAGATCCTTATTTCCCAATGACTGCCAATTATTTTAGAGTTATATGCCCTATTATTATTTGTTCATACAATTTTTTTCATGTGACATAATTTTATTTTTAAAATTAAAGTGGGGGCACCTGGGTGGCTCATTCGGTTAAGCATCTGCCTTCGGCTCAGGTCATGATCCCAGGGTTCTGGGATCGAGCCCCACATCGGGCTCCCTGCTCAGCAGGGAGCTTGCTTCTCCCACTCCCCCTGCCTGCCGTTCCCCCTGCTTGTGCTCTCTTTCTATCAAATAAATAAATAAAATCTTTAAAAAAATTAAAGTGAATTTAAATTCAGTATAATATCCTGTAAGATAACCCATATTTTACCAGTTGAAAATAATTATATTAAATCCTATATGGGTAAAAATGAATGACAAGGAAATAAGGACCAGAGAGCTGAGCATGTTTAATTACTACCTGCTTTGGTGAGGGTATCACATATCTGTTTACATGATCCCCACTGGACTGGGAAAGTTGCTAGAATGTATAGGTTGTGTTTTATTTGTCTAGCCCAGAGTCCAAGTCCTATAATAAAGTGCAATTTACATAATTGTGACCCAGATAATGCAAACAAATCACCCATGCTTCAAAAAGAGTAATCAGTACAGGGAAGCAATGTAGCAGAGCAATTAAGGGCAAGGATTTTGGGGGTGGAGAGACCTGGACTCATTCTGACTCCACCACTTACCATTTATAGACAACTTAGGCAAGTGACTTAACATTTCTAAGCTTCCCTTTTGCATCTGCGAGACGGGGACCATAAAACCTGCATGCGGCGGTTGCAGTGAAGAATAAGTACCATACTGTGTGGAAAGCACCTTCAGCCTGACAGCGTAAGTGCTTAATGAATGTGAATTATTATTACCCCTACGAAATAAAGCAGCATGACTTTTTTTCAATCTTACCTATGCAATGTCAAAATTAGCAGATAAAGAGTAGAGTCACTAAACCTGCTATATATAAACAGGACAACAAACATCAATTCTGAGAATATTCTGCTCCCGTCATTCCAAAAGACAAGAAAACAGCTTCCTTGGGATCTGGAGGAGACTTCACCCAGGCTGTGAGTCTGATACTCGCTTTGGAGGTATTTCTTTTTTTTTTTTTAAGATGTTATTTATTTATTTATTTATTTGACAGAGAGAGACACAGCGAGAGAGGGAACACAAGCAGGGGGAGTGGCAGAGGGAGAAGCAGGCTCCCCGCAGAGCAGGGAGCCCGACGAGGGGCTCAATCCCAGGACCCTGGGATCATGACCTGAGCCGAAGGCAAACGCTTAACGACTGAGCCACCCAGGCGCCCCTGGAGGTATTTCAATATCTTACATATTTTCCTTTGCCAGACTGCTATGACATTATAGTAATTTGATTAATGAAAGCTATTTTCAAAGCTCAAACTCTTTTAAGAAGATATTATTAATAAACAAAGTGTAGTAAACACCTACAGTGGTATATTCTTCAGCCTTTGAAAGGAAGGAAATCCTGACACAGGCAACAAAACAGATGAGCCTTAAGGACATTATGCTGAAGGAAATAAGCCCATCACAAAGGGACAAATACTGTGATTCCAGACATATGATGTCTAGCGTAGTCAAATTTAGAGGGACAGAAAGTACAATGGTGGTTGCCAGGAGCTGGGGAAGGAGGGGATAGAGGGGGTTCTTGTTTCATGGGTAGAGTTTCAGTTTAAGAAGATGAAAAAATACTGGACATGGATGGTGGTGGTGGGTGCACATCGATGTAAATGTACTTAATGCCCCTGACCTGTACACCGAAAAATGACTAAGACGGTAAATGTGATGTTATGTATATACTGTACCACAAGTTTTAAAGAGATGTTATGAATTTTAAAAGTCCAAGTTGTCCTTAAGAGAGAAGGCAGGGACAGGAGAGGCACAAATGTCACTTATATCTGACGTTTAGAGGAGAGAATCAGAACTACCCTCACTGCCACCCAAGTATCTTTCCCAGTTTTTTTCTGGCAGCCTAACTTTATTTGCCTCAAAAATCTAAAATAGAACTGAAAATAAAATATTTAAGTGTGTTTTTAAAAGCCCCTGGAATCTTGCTATTTTCTTTGTCTTTCATAAAAGGCAGTATGGCATTCTGGAAGGATGAGGTGTGACTCAGTTGTAGGTGACGAGTGGCAAGCTTACAAACGGCATTTTGATTACCAAACGGTTTATTATAAAGTCTTACCTTTTGCCACTGCTTGAAATCTGAAATAATGGATTCGAATATGTTTTCTTTACTAGGAGATGAAATGTCTTTTCTATTGGAAAAAGGAAAAGGAGCAAGAGCAGGGTCTCAGAACAATGTATAAACAAAGAAAATCATGAATCCATATACTACAGAACAATATTAGGTTTCTCCCGAATGATTTTCAAACATGCCTTCCATCCTCATATGCATTCATCTTTAAATTTGCAAATATAAATATGATTTCAGGCTCCAACCAGCCCTGAGCAATCAAGTTACAGGGTCAGAGGCCATGAGAGTATTAAAAGGGTGGTCTCTGGGTCTTTGCCATCCAAAATTAGATCATCTTAAGAGCAATTCGGTTGAATACAGCAGACAAAACAATTTGTAAATAGAAGGGAAGCCTAATAAATAATTAAGACTCAGCATTTAGGTCAAGAGGCCCAACTTTTGGTAAGAAAGTTTCCTTTAGTATCTCTGAAGTCTTCACAAGGAGAAAGCTCTTGATAAAAGGTTCTGAAGAGAAAGAGAAATAAGAACCCCTGTCCCACCTCAGCTCCCCTCTCAGCTAAGAGTCAACAAACAGTAGAAACAGGGATGGCAGCAGCCAACAGCTTGGATATGTACCAGCTTCAGCTTCCAGAACTTCCAACTCTGCTAACTCGGAAACCTTAGAGGATCTGAAAAACTGAAACCATCGTCCTCAATTTGAAATGGAAATGGTACCTAAACATGTTTCCTCAACAGACAAAGCATCCTAAAGTAATTAAAAACCTTAGAAATCACTGAATCAAGCCTGCATTCAAAGTCCAGATTCCCACTAACTTTGGCTGCGATTTAATCATCCCACCTTGACTTAACTACTTTATAGGCAGCTTGTCCACTGTCAGATTTCTCTAATTGTTACACAGTATAATATCCAATCCAAGTCAATCACCTTATAATGGCCACCCATTGATTCTATTTCTCTGCATATGCACTATGTTACAGAATCTGCAGATGGATCTAGATATTCAGGGGCTCCAGTAATAATGACATAAGTTGATGTGATTTTAACAAGAGAGAAGAGAAGAGAAGGAGAAGAGAAGAGGAGAGGAGAGGAGAGAAAAGTAAAACAGCTGAACAGAATGGAGGCAGCAGCAGGTGGGTAGAAGGAGCAGGATGGACCACAGAGATGGTTAGCACCAGAAACCACAAAACCACTCAAGCCCCTAGCAGGACTGCAGCCTTGGAAGGGCTGTTAGTTGCCTGACCAAATCAATGTTAGAGTCATCACAAGAGAAAAGAGAGGCAGAGAAAAAGAGAAAGAATTGGATTGAGTTATCAGACATGACACAGTATAATCAAAAACAAGATTCTTATAGACCCACCCATCATTTCTGAAGAACTCCTGCCATGTGATAAGACCATCCTTAACAGTTTGTAATTTCTCCCTTGTAGACTCTTCATTTTGTTCCACTTCCTTTTTAAATCTATTCATTGAGCTTCTCCATTTCTGTGTCAACTTCTGCAATAGTGCAAGGTCTGCAGTGTCCTAGATAATATGCATGGAATCAAACCACTCATTCACTTATTCACATAACAAATACTTATTAGCATACACTAATAAAATTAATTAGTGTATTAATATCATAATACTAGAGACATCCATAGAAAATGGATCAAAATTGAGAAGATATTTCTCTTTCAAAATATCATCAGTAACACCACACAGTTCCTTTGCTGGTGAATTTTCCATGGTACATAAAATATTGGAAACAAGATATTTTTCCTTTGCAACATGAGCCCAGTTTCCCCACAGGACTTTCATGGGAGGTAGTGTGGTACATTGGAAAGAACAGGAATTTCAAAGCCAAACAAAACCAAATGTGAATCCTAGCCAATTATTGGCTATGTAACCTTATGGGATGTTATTCAATTTATTGGGATTAATTTTTCTTATCTACAAAATAAAGACCTTAATATATATCTCACAGAATTGCTATAAGAATGAAATGAGGGATGCCTGGGTGGCTCAGTCAGTTGAGCGGCTGCCCCCGGCTCAGGTCATGATCCCAGGATCCTGGGATCTAGTCCCACATCGGGCTCCCTGCTCAGCAGAAACCTGCTTCTCCCTCTACCTGCTGCTCCCCCCCGCTTATACTCTCTCTGACAAATAAATAAAATCTTAAAAAAAAAGTATGAAATGACTAGTGTAAATGGTACGATTCTAGAAACACACTAAATGCCACTTCTCTCCTTTTCAACCAAGTGTGCTCATTGAATTTTTGCATAAAATTGCATAAAATGCATCAAGAATACCACTATTTCAATGAACGTAGCTACTTACATTTTTTTAATTTAAATACTAACAAATAGAATAAATCTATAAAACATTTGCAGTATTATTAACTTAGATAAATTGCTTAATTGCTTTAATTAGGCTAGAAGACAAATATAAAGAAGAGCATTTATTCACATTTCCTTAGATTTTTCATTCCGCTCACAATAAAGCACAAATACAAAACTATATTTAAAATTTATAAACTTAGCAAAGGCTTCTTAAACCCTCAAAGGCTAGAGTCTCTCTTCTCATAACATAAGTAAATTGAGCTTTACCTTGGTTGACAGCAGTATGATGAAATGCTTAGCATATTTATTCCAACCTTTTTCATTGAGGTAAAGTCTTTTAGCCAATATGACTCTATTTTTTTCAATTACCTATTTGAAGAAAGTACTAAAATGAGGAATCTAAGACATTAATAAATCACTGTGATTTATTAAACCCAAACCAATTTCAAATATCAATTTTTCACTGAATCATTAATTCAATCACAATTTCTTGTTTAAATCATGAGCTAATTTGAATCATAAACTCATGTTTTCTAAACCTCCTAAACTGGAATCTAACTGAAGTATATAGCAGAGGTTCTTAAGCAACCTGACCTCAAAACCCTTTTATATTCTTAAAAATTAGTGAAGACTCCAAAGAACTTTCATTTATATGCATTAAATCTATTCGATAGTCACTGTATTGAAACTTAAAACTGAAATTATTTAAAATATGTATTTGTTAATTCACTTAAACATAACAATAAATCCATTATACATTAACATAAATGGTATTTTTATGCACTCATGTGCAAATGAGAGTGAAAAAAGGTAAATAATGTCTTAATATTATGATGAAATAGTTTTCACCTCGTGAAAGGGTCTCATGTATCCCCAGAGGGTCCTTGGATCATACTTTGAGAACCACTGGTATCCTGAATCAATTATATAGTCATTCAATGAATGACTGTTCTAGACACTGTGCGTATTGCCATGAACAAAAGAAACAAAGTCTTTTTTTTAGGGAGGTGACATTCTAGCTGTCATTCATTTCCTGTCGGAAGGGCCTTTAGAGATGAGCTAACACAAAGCCTCCACCAATTCAAGGTATTTTTCCACAGAAACCACTACAAGGGGTCAGTTCTCTATTGTTTAAATACTTCTAGAGTGAAGAAACTCACTTGTCTTCTTCTTATTCCTATTGAACAGGCCTAGCTCTAAAAATATATTATACATTTACTGTCATGATTGTTTCCTCTTGACATGCCATTTTAAAATTCTGCATCAGATGAAACATTATATCCTAGATGAGATCTGACTATTCCAGAGAAAATGAGACAGAAGTTTGAATCTGTTGAGGGTCATAATTTGCTGTTAATACTTAATAAACACCAAGTCCCAGGTGTGAGAATAGGCAACCAACCAGCAAACATTTCAAAAAAATAGAATATTGTGGGACTATGCTATTTCCCTAAAGTATTACATTAGTGGCCCACAGACTGCCATATTTTAACTCATTTGTCATCTTAGATGCCAAGGTAATAGAACCAAAGTCATATAATCCTAATATTGTTACACTGTGTGAAAAAATACAATTTTTCCTAGTTTATTATTAGTATAAATTTAACTTGAAAGTTTTAACATGTTCACAAACAATAGAAAAAGAATTCTTGCTCATACTTCATAGATTCTGGTGAGAAAAAGAGCCCTTAACTGGGCAATAGAGAAGTACTTAATAGAGAAGAAACAAAAGAAAAAAAATGTAACTTCCTTTTTGTAAGGCCCATAATAGCTACATTATTAATAAATTAAATATACATTCTCATTTTTAAAATTTTTGTCTAGATTACTGAAAATTGTAAAACAAAACTTTATTCAGTCAAAAAAGAAGTCTGAGTTATGATTCCAGATGAGCCAACCTTTAGGGCCAATTCATATGTGGCTGAGCTCCAGAGATCTCTTTCTGCCATTAACTGTTTAATATCACTCTCCATCCTTCCTCTTTGCAATGTGTATAAGTCATGGTATTCTTCTACAATCCTAAAAGAAAAATTAAAAAGTATATACAGACTTTGTTTTTGAGAAGTCACATTTATTGGATAATTGTTATGATACTGGACATTAAAAAACAACAACTTTGTTCTAAAATAGGCAATTTGTTCTTTTAAAATTCATCATAAAGTAATTATGGCATAATTGCTGGTACCCAGTGAAATAGAAGAAAAAATAGTCACATTTCATGTATAAATCTTACAAAAGTCTTAAAGTAAAAAATTCAATATATTGTTCCTTGCTCTAAATGCTTTTCTTCATATTGTTTATTCACTAGAATTTTCACAACATGGTATTGCAATAGAATAACAACAGTATATCTAATTTTTAAAATCTGAATACAAAATAGAATTAGGATTCTTTATTAAAGACACAAAGCCCAGTAATTATGAGCCACTATACTTTTAAATTATATATAATTAATATGATTTAAAGAAATTCTCTACCAACCAACTAAAAGATTAAGTGCCTAACTATACTTTTAAATTATATATAATTAATATGATTTAAAGAAATTCTCTACCGACCAACTAAAGATTAAGTATAATCAAGTAAGTACCTTTTTCTTAACTATCTTTTCTTCATGTTTACCAGAACATACCTTTTCCTTCCAACTTAAACTGAAGCTTAGAATTAAATTAGAATTAAAAGTGCTTCTGAGATTGAATACAAACAAAGAAGTTGTAAAGGGGTAGCATTTCACAAGCCATTTGAAACACCTCCTCCCAAGGAATATTAACTTTCCTACAAGAATTAAAGGCCTGTTACAGGAATTCAGCAAAGTGGCAGGATATAAAATCAATGCACAGAAATCAGTTGCACTTCTATACACTAACAATGAGACAGAAGAAAGAAAAATTAAGGAGTGGATCCCATTTACAATTGCACCAAAAACCATAATATACCTAGGAATAAACCTCACCAAAGAGGCAAAGAATCTGTACTCAGAACTAACTATAGAATACTCATCAAAGAAATTGAGGAAGACACAAAGAAATGGAAAAACGTTCCATGCTCATGGATTGGAAGAACAAATATTGTGGGGTTGTTTTTTTTTTAAGATTTTATTTATTTGAGATTTATTTGAGAGAGAGCGCGCGTGCACACAAGCATGAGTGGGGGACATGGGGGTGGGGAGAGGCAGAGGGAGAAGCAGGCTCCCTGCTGACCAGGGAGCCTGACATGGGGCTTGATCCCAGGACCCGGGGATCATGACCTGAGCCAAAGGCAGACACTTAACCAACTGAACCACCCAGGTGCCCCAAGAACAAATATTGTTAAAATGTCTATGCTTCCCAGAGCAATCTATACATTCAATGCAATCCCTATCAAAATACCATCAAGTTTTTTTCACAGAGCTGGAACTAATAATCGTAAAATTTGTATGGAACCAGAAAAGACCCCAAATAGCCAAAGGAATGTTGAAAAAGAAAACCAAAGCTGGTGGCATCACAATTCTGGACTTCAAGCTCTATTATGAAGCTGTCATCATCAAGACAGTATGGTACTGGCACAAAAACAGACACATAGATCAATGGAACAGAATAGAGAGCCCAGAAATGGACCCTCAACTCTATGGTCAACTCATCTTTGACAAAGCAATAAAGACTATCCAATGGAAAAAAGACAGTCTCTTCAACAAATGGTGTTGGGAAAACTGGACAGCCACATACAGGAGAAGGAAACTGAACCGTTTCCTTACACCATACACAAAAATAGACTCAAAATGGTTGAAAGACCTAAATGTGAGACAGGAATCCATCAAAATCCTAGAGGAGAACACAGGCAGCAATCTCTGTGACCTTGGCCACAGCAACTTCTTGCTAGACGCGTCTCCAAAGGCAAGAGAAACAAAGGCAAAAATGAACTATTGGTAGTTCATCAAGATAAAAAGCTTTTGTACAGTAAAGGAAACAGTTGACAAAATCAAGACAACTGACAGAATGGGAGAAAATATTTGCAAATGCCTTATCAGATAAAGGGCTAGTATCCAAAATCTATAAAGAACTTATCAAACTCAACACCCAAAGAACAAATAATCCAATCAAGAAATGGGTAGAAGACATGAACAGAAATTTCTCCAAAGAAGACATCAAAATGGCCAACAGACACATGAAAAAATGCCCAACATTGGGGCGCCTGGGTGGCTCAGTCGTTAGGCATCTGCCTTCGACTCAGGTCATGATCCCAGGGTCCTGGGATCAAGCCCCGCATTGGGCTACCTGCTCAGCAGGAAGCCTGCTTCTCCCTCTCCCACTCCCCCTGCTTGTGTTTCCTCTCTCGCTGTGTCTCTCTCTGTCAAATAAATAAATAAAATCTTTAAAAAAAAATGCCCAACATTGCTCGGCATCAGGGAAATACTAATTAAAACCACAATGAGATACCACCTCACACTAGTCAGAATGGCTAAAATGAACAACTCAGGAAACCATAAACATTGGTGAGGATGCTGAGAAAGGGGAACCCTCCTACACTGTTGGTGGGAATGCAAGCTGGTGCAGCCACTCTGGAAAACAGTATGGAGGTTCCTCAAAAAGTTGAAAATAGAGGGCGCCTGGGTGGCTCAGTCGGTTAAGCGACTGCCTTCGGCTCAGGTCATGATCCTGGAGTCCCCAGATCGAGTCCCGCATCGGGCTCCCTGCTCAGTGGGGGGCCTGCTTCCCCCTCTGCCCTCTCGTGCTCTCTGTCTTTCATTCTCTCTCAAATAAATAAATAAAATCTTTAAAAAAAAAAGTTGAAAATAGAGCTACCCTATGACCCAGCAATTGCACTACTGGGTATTTACCCCAAAGATACAAATGTAGTGATCCGAAGGGGCACCTGCCTCCCTATGTTTATACCAGCAATGTCCACAATAGCCAAACTATGGAAAGAGCCCAGATGTCCATTGACAGATGAATGGATAAAAAAGATGTGGTATATATGTATATATACAATGGAATATTATGCAGCCATCAAAAAATGAAATCTTGCCATTTGCAACAACATAGATGGAACTAGAGGGTATTATGCTAAGCGAAATAAGTCAATCAGAGAAAGACAATTATCCTGTGATTTCACTCATATATGGAATTTGAGAAACAAAACAAAGGAGCATAGAGGAAGGGAGGGAAAAATAAAACGAGATGAAACCAGAGAGGGAGACAAACCATAAGAGACTGTTAATCATAGGAAACAAACTGAGGGTTGCAGGAGGGGAGTGGTTGTGGGGATGAGGTAACTGGGTGATGAACATTAAGGAGGGCGTGTGATGTAATGAACACTGGCTGTTATATACAACTGATGAATCACTGAACTCTATCTCTGAAACTAATACACTATATGTTAATTAATTGTATTTAAATAAATATATTGTGTGTGTGTGTGTATATATATATATATATATATTTTTTTTTTTTTTTTAAAGAATTAGAGGCCTGTGACATAGAATTCTTCTAATTTTGGTGAAAGCCAAGAACCACCAGCATCAGTTCTTGAAAGGCTTCTTTTTGGAGACTTCCACTTGTCCAGAGTACCTAATAAAAATTAATCACCCCAGGTGTCACATAGGTGAATACACATATGAAAATTCAACAAGTTATATACCCTTACAATTTGTGCACATTACTACCTGAAAGTAAGACGTTTATTTTTTTTTTTTTTCAGATAGGCTCCACACCCATCATAGAGCCCAATGCAGGACCTGAAATCACAACATCAAGATCAATACCTAAGCTAAGATCAAGAGTTGGACACTTAACTGATTGAGCCACCCAGGCACCCCAGACAGTGATTTTAAAAAGGGAATCAATGACCCTTGCTTATAATAGCAAAGGAAAAAAATTCAGAAATAACCTCATGTCCAATAATAAGGGATTGGTCACATAAAATATATGATATAGCTCTATGATTAAAATGCTCTGCAACTAATTAAAGATCTTGTTGTTGTATTTTGGTACATGGGAAAATTTTTCATGTTTGTAACATGAGATAACCCAAATGGTAAAATTATATATTCAGTTTGATCTCATTTATATAAAAAATACATAGAAGTCGATAAAAGAAAAATATATGAAAATATTAATAGTGTTTACCTCTGAGAGAAAGAATTATGGGTGCTTTTTTTCCTTACTTGTTTCTATTTTCCTAATTGTCAATAAAATAATCAGTTATTATTTTTTAAAATATTAGTAAAAATTTCTAATCACACACACACACAAAACCCATCGTACTTCAGACTTTCTCCATTTCCTTCCCTTTCTCTCTGGCTTTAGATGTTCTTATAATGGACATTAACACAAAAGAAGTTCTAACTTATTTTTATTAATTCATTCAACAAATATCTGTTTAGTGCCTACTATATGCCAGGCACTATTCAAAACAAAACAAAACTTTGCCCTTATAAAGTTTAGTTGGAAGAGATAATCAACAAATAAAAAAGTAAAACATACTAAGTAGTGACAGTGCAATAGATAAAAATCATCAGGGAAAGGAGATTGAGAACCCAAAATATATTGTGTTTTAAATGGAGGGGGATGAGCAAAGGTCCAAAGGAAGGAGGGAGGAAGCTAGCAGCTCTCTGGGGGCGGGAAGGGAGAAGAGGAGTCCAGGCCCCAAGTGGGAGCCTGTCTGGTATGTTCAAGAACAGCACAAAGGCCGCAAGTCTGAATAAAGTAGGAGAAGTCAGAGAAATCCCGGTAGGATGAGTCTTGTAAACCATTTTTTAAAAACATGGCCCTTTACTCTAAGATGGGGAGCTATTACAGAATTTTGAGCAGAGAAATGACATTATTGGAGTCAAATTTTAATAGATCATACTGAAACCACATAGAACTGTAAAGACGGATGGAAATTAAGATGGACATACTAATGTTTCAGCAAGGTTTGACTCCAAGTTGAACAAATTTTTCTCTTCCTCATTCTTGAAGCCCCCTCCCCCATTCACTTGTGCTTCTGTGGGATCCTCGGTTCCAGGAACTTGGTATGGATGTTGATACCTAGTAACCAGACTCATGGCCGGCACAAGCATCAGTCACGAGACCACCTTGAAGACATGAGGAATGTGGCTGGCAGCACCTACCAGATTCCTAGTGAAACCGCCCAGAACCTGCATTTTCCTATAAAACTCTCAGCCTTTTACCCGGGGCAGGTCTGCAGTTTTGAAGGCATTAGCCTGCTCCGGCCTCCTTTGCCTGGCAAAGTAATAAAGCTATTGTTCCTCTTTATCCCCAAACTCCATCTTCGTGTCGTATTTTGGCTCCAGAGCCCAGAGGTCGGTTTTTGACAACAATCTTGGCTGGTGTGTGGAGAACAGCCTACTGCGGTGTACACGCAGAAGTAAAAAGGTGATTCCGAGGTTACCGCAACACCGTAGCCAAGAGATGCAGATGGCAGGACGGAAGTGAGGAGGACTCGGCATATGTAGTGAAAGGTGACCGACTTTGCCACAGAGAAAGGTGAGATGTGAGAGAAAGAAAGGGATCAAGAAGGACTCCAAGAGTTTTGGCCCCAGAAACTGGAAGGATGGAGTTGCCATTAACTGAAATGAGATGAGTGTCGGAGAAGTAGTTTTGGGGAAAAGAACAGGAATTCGATTTGGGAATGTTAGGTAGCTAAGAGAAGTGTTGAGGCCGTGGAATATGTAAGTCTGGAATTCAAAGAGAAGATTGAAACTGGGCGTACAAATTTGTGGAGAAGGGCGTAGATACATATTTGTGAGCTGAGAGTATACAGGTTGATGACATTGAAAGCCAGGAAACTGAAGAGATTTCGTCAGTGAATATAGATACAGAAAAGATCCATGGAATGCACACTCTACCATTTAGAAATTGGTGAGGGGCGCCTGGGTGGCTCAGTCGTTGAGCGTTTGCCTTTGGCACAGGTCATGATCCCAGCGTCCTGGGATCGGGCCCCGCATCGGACTCCCTGCTCTGTGGGGAGCCCACTTCTCCCTCCCACTCCCCCTGCGTGTGTTCTCTCTCTGTCTGTGTCTCTCTCTGTCAAATAAATAAATAAAATCTTAAAAAAAAAAATAGAAATTGGTGAAAAGAAAAGGAATCTGCAAGGGATATCAGTAAGAAAGAGCAGATAGTAAAGGAGGAGGAAACTAGGAGAGTGTGATATACTGAAAGACATTGCTTCATGCAAGAGCAAGTGATGAGTTCTGATAAATGCGGCCGGTAAGTCAAGTTAAAGGAGAATTGAGAAGTGACCTTTAGATTTAGCAACATGAAAGTCACTGTTGAATTTGACAAGTGCACTTTGGTGGGGTGGGGGTAGTGAAAGCCTGATTGGAGTGACAAAGAGAGGACCAGGAGTAGACACACTGAATATGACAACTTTTTGAAGAAGATTACTATAAGTAGCGGGGGCGGGGAGGAAATGCGGCCATAGCTAGAAGGGGATACGCATGGATACTCCTAAGATTGACTTAGGAGACTTTTTGTTTTTTGGCTGTTGTTTTGAGATGGGAGTACTTATAGCATATTTGTATACTAATGGGACTAATCAGGAAAAGAGGGAAAAATTGATATGGGAGAAATAGGGAATATTTGCTGAAAATATCTTGAGATGATGGAATAGTACACAAATGGGAAGATTGGCCTTAGAAAGAAAGAGACAATTGGTCCACAGTAAAAGATGGGCATGAGTATCAGATGAGCACAGATGCAGGCAGGTGGGTAGATGTAGGGGTGAGAGCAGGAGTTCTCTTCCGTTTACTTCTGCTTTTTAGAAAGAAAGGTCATCAGCTCAGAAAGAGGATGGAGAGATACTATTAGAGGAATGAGGATAGAAGACAAAGTATAGAATAGTTTTCTGCTAAGACAAGAAGGGTGAATCATCTACAGAAAACAGCAGTATATTCAGTGCACAAAAAATGATCAAGGTACCCTTCTCATTCTAGTAAGGAATAAAATAGAATAAAAGTAAGGTATCTCTGAATTTAGATTTTGTATACATTTGTGTTTTTCTTGATTTTTTAAAAAAATAGTTACTCTTCAACACATTTTTTAAAAAAGCAGAAGACTATGCTGAATTAAAAGGATCATAAAACAGGGTACAATGTGTGGCCCTAGACTGGATACTGGTTTGGACAGCCCAATGTAAAATACATTTTGGGAATAATTGGGAAAATTTGAATATGACTTGGGTAATTTGTGAAGTGAAACTTTACTGAAACAGGTAGAGACTGTTGACTGAAAAAAAAAAACAGGCTGTATAATAGTATATACAGTACAATTTAAAACAACGCATGTGTGCACATACACATAGGGAAAAAAGGATATACACTAAGGCATGTATAGCAGTAATCTATGGGTGGTGAAGCGGATATTTTTAATTCATTTTTGCTTGTTTGTATTTTCTACTTACAAGGCACATATAATGCTTCTATGATAGTATATTATTTTTAAGCAATTAAATAAGAAAAATTAAAAATACAATCAGATATTTCATTTGATATATACCCAAGAGCCTCCTAGTAATTAGAACTCTAACTGAAAATAAAATAGAATAAAGGTCAGCAAATTACAGCCTGTGGGTTTACAACCCACCACTTGTGTTTTGTACAGAACATAAGCTAAGAATTTTAGATTTTTAGTTTTTTACATATTTTACTTTTTATATTTTTAATGGTTAAAAAAGCAATAGCATAACAATATTTTGTGACACGTGAAAATGTTTATACCTTCAAATTTCAGTGTCAATAAATAAAGTTTTATTGGAACACAGCCATGTTCTGGTATTGCCCTTGCCTTCTTTTACACTACAGTAGCACACATTACGAAGGCAGAGCTGATTGATAGTTGCATCAGAAACCACATCTCACCACCTGGCCCTTTACAGGAAAAGTTTGCTAACCCCTAAAATAGGATAAAAACATTAGGATCGTAGTAGATTTATTAAAATCTAAAAAAGAACTAGACTCACACTACTAATTAGGAAAACACAAACAAAAACCAGATACCTTTTTATACCCATCAGACTGATAAAAGATATGGACAAAAGGGAAATCTCATACACTGATGAGAGGATATACTGGTCCGACTACTTTGTAGAGCATTTGGCAACATCCTGGCAAGACAAGGCCATGCATGGCCTATGACCCAGTAACTCCACTTCTAGGGATACACCCCTGGAAAATTCACACAAGAACACATTTATGAGATGTGTATTAAACAGTGCCCGGAGGAGTTAATAAATATGTTTATTAAAAGTTTCTTGTACATATATTAACTCCTCCAGGCACTGTTGTAATAAAAAACTTCAAATGTTTCTATAAAATTTTGTTTCTTCAAATAAGGTGTGAAGCATGTATGACATAATGGCTAACATCTGGTAACTCACCTAGCATTCTTTTCAGCATCTAAAAGAGCTTGTGCCAAATCCTTGTGGGCTTTCTCTGCTTCCTTTGTTAATTTCATATCATGAGCCCGAACCAGACACAGCTCCCTGAAATAAAGCAAAGAAATTTTATATTCATAGTTGAAGAGTTCCAAAAAGTTTCTACCCAGAAAATCCGATTTATACTCAGGAATCTTCTCAGTTATGTGTAAATCTCTTCCTAGTTTTTATACCTTATAAGCCAAATCAAGAAATCTAGTGTCCATTTGGATGGAATTCTGTCAGGCTTGACAATGGAATCTGGTTGGCTAGAAAGGGCAGAAAGATGATGTGAGAGATCCTCTCGAATAGAGAGAAGGCAGATGCTAACAGGCAAGGCCACCAGCTGCTCTATCCTACCCTCTGACATGCCTATCTTACCCTCTTCATTCTTGCCACGAATCATCCTGGCACAGATTAGAGGATCACTAACCTTGATTGCTATATAACACTTATCCTCTTTGGGATTTAAACCTTAACATCCGTAATCATGGCACTACTCTGTAAACATGACTAAGATCAACATCTCAGTCCTAGAAGGAGAACAGGAATTGCTTCCCTATCAAACATACACAGAGCCCTAGTTTCGTGTTAACCTGTGTAACCCAGTCCTTTCTGTCTCTTCCTAAACCCCCAAAAAGAAAGAGTCCTCACTCTTAACCATTCTACTTTTCCTGTTTTTTCGTCTCTTTAGAGCCACAGTTTTGACTTGTGTTTTGTATTTAAGATAATCACAGATTTTACCTGGTCAGTTCTTCAATAACATTCTTAAAATTGTACAGTTCTTCTAAAATGCGCTGGTCCATCATTCGCTGAGTTACCAAGTCTTTGTAGAAATCAATCATCTGCCGGGCAATTTGGTCAAGCATTTGTACATACCGTTCTCTGCATGAGAAAGAAAACAAGGTTATCATGCAAAAAAAAAAAAAAAGAAAGGAAAGGAAAAAAGAGCGAGAAAATATATGAAAGAAAAAGTAATGTTAGGGAAAGAAATAGTAGATACTCATAAAAGATATGCAAGATGAACAAGATAGGAAAAGAAAGGGATCTAATATGTATATTCCTGCCATGCTCACACAAGCAAATGAACTGTGGAGGATTTTAACCAGAGTCATAATCATTTGGAATATAATGTCTGAGATGTAAAACAAAATGAGAACTTCTTTTATTTCTTCTTCTAAATGATAAATTCTATGAGGATAGAAACCATGTCTTATGTATTTATATAGAATGGGATTTTTTATAATAGTTGAATTCATGAATAAAGCCACTTTCTCAAGTTGTTTAAACCCAAAAAGACACCAACTGTTCAAAAATGAATAAAGACCCTAAATTCAAAGAAGTCATTTCTTTCAGTCTAAATAAAACCAAATATTTGGAAGTGATCACAAATGATAAATTACAAATACCATACTGAGCAGCATTTGTATTAAAATTGATCCTGGTGTTATATCCTAAGCCTGAGACCACTGAATTATAATATCTTTGAGTTGGAATGGTCATTTAATTTTGGTTTTTTTTTTAAAGATTTTATTTATTTATTTGTTAGAGAGAGAGAGTGCAAGCAGGGGGAGCTGCAGGCAGAGGAAGAGGGAGAAGCAGGCTCCCCACCGAGGAGGGAGCCTGACACGGGGCTGGATCCCAGGACTCTGGTATCATGACCTGAGTCAAAGGCAGACGCTTAACCATCTGAGCCACCCAGGCGCCCCTGGTCATTTAGTTTAATCTCTCACCCATAACAGAAAGAATTACCCAGCCCTTGCTTAAACGCCTAGAATTACAGAGAGTTTATCAGTTCGCTATGTAGTTCATACACTAGGAAGTATCAATTCTTTAAGACTTCCCTCCTGGAAATACAAGGACAAAATACTCTGAAGGGTCTTCTTATTACAATACAACTAGATCCATGACAGAGCATACTTTCTGAAGCATTACTGGGCTTGCAGGAAAAAAACAGAAGTCTCTAGGGGCGACAAACAAAAACAATAAATAAAATACAATATACTAAGAATGGAGTGGGAAATGGTAATCAGTATTCACCAGGCAAACCCAAGGTCATGGTTGCCCCAGTGAAAATAACAACACTGGGTAGGAAGGGTAAGATGGCAGAGTAGGAAGATTCTGAACTCACATCCTCCCCTGGACACACCAAGGCTGCAATTACGTACAGTACACCTTACTCTAAGACTAGAACACTAGCAGAACAGTACTTCCACAGCTAAAGATATAAATAAAGGGTAGGAGGGGCAGAAATGCAATCAAGAACTAAACCCCTGATGCAGAGACCCACAAGCAGGAGGGATATCACAGGTGTGGAGGTTCCACACTGAAGAGCAAGGGGTTCAAGCCCCACACTGGGCAACCCTTGCCCTGGGGATCTGCACTGGGAAGATGAGCTCCCATAACATCTGGCTTTGAAAATCAGCAGGGCTTACTCCAGGGGAGCCAGAGGGTTATAGGAACCGAGATTCTGTTCTTAAAGGGCCGCCACATAGTAACCCTCACTCTGAGACCCAACACAAAGGCAGCAGTTTGAAAAGCACCTGGGCTGGAGTGAAGGAGATTTACTGACAAATTTTAGGGTGTGTGATGGAGGGACAGGGATCTACAGGAAATTTCTCCAGGAAAAAAAGTGCTGGTAAGCACTATTTATTTACTTATTTATTTATTTATTTAGGCTTCCTTCAGCCTAGATGGCCTAACACTGGTGGATGCCAGTTCTGACACTCTCCATTTACCTTGTTTGCACCTATGGACCCATCCCAGCATCCCCTTGCAGACCCATCCTGCCCAACCTGCCCACCCTGGCAACTGTGTCTTCCAAAGCCTCTAGTGTCCTGTCATGCCCAGCAGGTAGCCTCAGCTAGGATAGACACTCCTCCAGAGTGACTCCTGCCCTGCACCTGCTCTCATGCATGGCACGTGCTCTCTCTCAAATAAATAAATAAATAAATAAATAAATAAATAAATAAATAAGACAGTTAAATACAAAGGGTGTTATATATAAACTTCATGGTAACCACAGGTCATGATCTCAGGGTCATGAGATTGAACCCCGTGTCAGGCTCTGTCCTGGGCATGAAGCCTGCCTAAGATTCTCTGTCTCCCTCTCCCTCTGCCCCTCCCCTGCACAGATGCACATGCACACTCTCTCTTAAATAAATAAATAAATAAATAAATAAATAAATAAATAAATAAATAAATAATAAATAAACTGTTAAATACATAGGGTGTTATAGATAAACCTCATGATAACCACAAACCAAAAACCTATAACAAATACACAAGAAATCAGAAAGAGAAAGGAATCCAAGCATAATACTAAAAAAAAATCATCAAATCGCCAGAGAAGAAAGGGACAGAGAAGAATTATAAAAAGAACCAGAGGGGAGCCTGGCTGGCTCAGTCAGTAAGCATGCAACTCTTGATCTTGGGGTTGTAAGTTCAAGCCTCATGTTAAGTATGGAAATAAAAATAAAATCTTAGAAAAACAAAGAACCAGGATGCCTGGGTGGCTCAGTCGGTTAAGCATCTGCCTTTGGCTTGGGTCATGATCCCAGGGTCCTGGGATTGAGTCCCATATAGGGCTCCTTGCTCAGCAGGGAATCTGCTTCTTCCTCTGCCTGCCTCTCTCACTCTCTCATTCTCTCTGACAAATAAATAAAATATTAAAAAAAAAAAAAACAAAGAACCAGAAACAATCAACAAAATTGCAGTAAGTATAAACTTATCAATAATTAATTTAAATGTAAATGGACTAAAGGTCAAAAGACATAAGGTAATTAAATGGATAAAAATAAATAAGATTCCTATATGCTGCCTACAAGAGACTCACTTTAAATATAAAGACATATGCAAAATGAGTGAAGGGATAGAAAACCATATTCCATGCAAATGGAAATAAAAAACCTGGGGTAGCAATAATTATATCACACAAAATAGACTTTGGAACAACAAACATAACAAGAGACAAAGAACAGCATTACATAATGATAAAGGGGATACAGCAATTTATTTACCAACAAATTCAACAACCTAGAAGAAATGGATAAATTCCTAGAAACATACAATCTTCCCAGAATGAATCAGGAAGAAATAGAAAATCTAAACAGATGAATTACTAGTAATTAAATTGAATCAATAAACAAAAAACTCTCAAAACCAACAGAAGTCAGGACCAAACTGCTACAAATGTAAATTCTACCAAACATTTAAAGACTTAATATCTATTCTCAAACTATTCCAAAAAACAGAAAAGGAAGAATTGTTTCAAATTCATTTTATAAGAACCGCACTACCCTGATAACAAAACCAAAGACACCCAAAAAAAAGGAAGGGAAGGGAGGAAAAGAAAAGAAAAGAAAATTAGAAGCCAATATCCCTAATGAACAAAGATGCAAAAACCCTCAACAAAATATTAGCAAACTGAATTCAATAATACATTTAAAGGATCATTCACCACAATCAACTGCAATTTATTCCAAGGATGCAAGGATGGGTCAATATCCACAAATCAGTGTGATACACCACATTAACAAAATGGAGAATAAAAACCATATGGTCATCTCATTAAATGCAGAAAAATCATTTGGCAAATTCAACATCCATTCATGTGATAAAAACTCTCAACAAAGTGATATAGAGGGAACAAAACTCAATATAATAATAGCTATCTGTGACAAACCCACAGCTAACATAGTCAGTGGTGAAAAGGTGAAAGCTTTTCTTTAAGATCAGTAACAAGACAAGTGTGTTTACTCTTGCTACTTTTATTCAACACAGTACTAGAAGTCCTAGCCACAGCAATCAGACAAGAAACTAAAATAAAAGGCAACCAAATTAGTAAGGAAGAAATAAAACTCACTATTTGCAGATGACATAATACTATATATAGAAAACCCTAAAGACTCCACCAAAAAACTATTAGAATAAATGAATTCAGTAAATTTGCAGGATATAAAATTAATATACAGAAATATGTTGTTTTTATATACTAATAAGCTAGCAGAAAGAGAAATTAAGAAAACAATCCCATTTACAATTGCACCAAAAATAATAAAATACCTAGGAATAAATTTTACCAAGGAGGTGGAAGACCTATACTCTGAAAACTACAAGATATTGATGAAAGAAATTAAAGGTAACATAAACAAATTGAAAGATATACTCTGCTCATGGATTGAAAGAATTAATATCATTAAAATGTCCATACTGGGGCGCCTGGGTGTCTCAGTCGTTGGGCGTCTGCCTTCAGCTCAGATAATGATCCCAGGGTCCTGGGATCGAGCCCCGCACTGGGCTCCCTGCTCGGCGGGAAGCCTGCTTCTCCCTCTCCCACTCCTCCTGCTTGTGTTCCCTCTCTCAACTGTGTCTTTCTCTGTCAAATAAATAAATCAAACCTTTAAAAATAAATAAAATAAATAAAATAAAATGTCCATACTGCCCAAAGCAATCTACAGGTTCAATGAAATTTCTATCAAAATACTAACAACAGGGGCTCCTGGGTGGCTAAGTCGTTAGGCATCTGCCTTCAGCTCAGGTTATGATCCCACGGTCCTGGGATCGAGCCCTGCGTTGGGCTCCCTGCTCAGCGGAGCCTGATTCTCCCTCTCCCACTCTCCCTGTTTGTGTTCCCTCTCTCACTGTGTCTCTCTCTGTCAAATAAATAAAATCTTTTTAAAAATGCTAACAACGTTTTTTACAGAACTAGAATTATCCTAAATTCATATGGAACTTTGAAGGACCCTGAATAGCCAAAGCAATCTTGAGAAACCAGAACAAAGCTGAAGGTATCACACTCCCAGATTTCAAACTATACTACAATTCATTGGTAATCAGAACAGTGTGGTACTAGCACAAAAATAGACACAGAGATCAATGGAATA